AATATACATACGAGGTTTCCAAATAGCCTTAGCTTTGTACCCTAACATTAATTAGACATTACTGAAATAAATGGGTACAACTAATATAAGTTAATATAACTTTCTGGTTTATTTTCAGGTGTTCAAATCTTTCCAAATCATTTGAATAACCCAACCCCAGAGCTCTTTAAAAAATGTGTTGAGTTAGCAGGTAAATCTTTTAGAGGCATGGTAGATGAACAGATCCATGAGAGCAAGAAAATTTGTGATAAATGCTTCAATGAAAATGTAAAAAACTACTACAAACATCTCAATTAACTGTAAAGTAATATAAAAAATACATACACTGCACCTATGAAGTAAGTATTAATTTAACAAATGTATGTATGTATAGATTCCTAAATTAAATATGAATTATAAATTAGCCATGATATAATAATAAAAAATATGTAGCCTTGATAGCTGTGTCAGGGCACTTGCTTTTAATTCAATATTGGCTTGAGCAACCTGAGTTCAAATCCTGGTGCTGGCATTAATGAAATTTTTGATTTTAAGTGTTGATTGACGATGTATTACATGCTCAGTGGTGAAGAAAAACTTAAAAATATTTCGAAGGTGTGTTAAGTCCACCAATTCGCAATGTATATGCCTTATATGCCTTAAGAAAACTTAAAGAATTGTTTACAACAGCAAACGAAGTCAATAACAGGCTAAAAAGGAACCAACATAGACTAGTGCTAAAAGACACCCCTAGATCTGCAAAGTATAGTAATAATTATTTGATGATGTGTGTACGAATTTAAAAAAAAATACCCAATAACATGAAAATGCTAGATGACAGACAATTTAAAGTTAATTAAAAAGTTAATAATATGGTTAAAGATAAATAATTTTTACGACATCAAATAATTTTTTAATAAGATTTAATACTTGACATTATTTTAATTAATTTTAATTTTATTTTTTCTACTCTTTATTATAAATTGTGAGATTTAATTTAGAATTGACTGCAACTGTATTTTGTAAACTTTATGTAAATAGTAAAGTTGATATGTGTAATATTTTGCATGCTATATAAAAATTAGGATAACATGTGGTACAATATTATGAGTTAGGTGAGTGTAACACCTTGTGAAACCATACTTTAAGCAAATAAATAACTTAATAACTTTTGAACAGGGAGACCATTGCCCATCTGTGTGATATTATTATATATACGCTTTACTTTAACTTCTTCGTAAAAAAATCAATAATAAAGCTAAGCTTTCACTCTAATTATAAACTTTTTATTGGAAACACAATAACTAATGAGTTTGATAAATCTATTGTATATAACCAGTTAACTTCCATACATTTTTAACCTTGAAGACTGCATTGACACAAATATTAATGAAACATTTATCTCTCAGGATGATGTAAGAGAAATGTTATTTATTTTTTAATTTGTGTATCTTATTATTTTCAGCATCTTCAATAATTTTGGGAGTGTATATTGATAACCTTTTACCGTCTACATACCAACTGACTGCACTACCCACAACAGGTAAAAATTATATTTTTTATTTTGAAAGAAAATCCACAGTATTTAAAAATATATAAATATTACTTACTAAAACTTGATGCCAATTTGGATTTACATTCTTTAGCTATAGTAAAAATATAGTGTATAGTAAAAAGCAAATAACTTTTAATACTTAAAGACAGGCAGAAGAAAAGGTAAAAATAATTTTAACTATTTGTATTAGCTCTTACAAGAAGGTTTGTGTATGGCTACTCCAAACTATTAAGTTTATTCAACATTATTCTTAATTGATTCGATTGTGTTATTGACATGAAAAGAATAATACAATGTGATCTTATTTTAAATCTCTCATACCTCTTTTAACGGTGGTAGGGCCACGCAACAGTGTTACACGAATGGGCAGATCCGTCTGGGTAAGTACCACGACCTCACAGAAGACCGGCGTAAAGTAGAAGAGTTGCACTTCTGCGTTTCGTCTGGTGAGTGAGGTAGCCGGGGCCCACATTATTAAAGAGGAGGCAACGCATCTACAACCCTACGGGTTTTGCAAATGTCCATGGGTAAGCGGTTATCACTTAACATCAGGTGAACCGCCAGCTCGTTTGCCACTTCCTCAAATAAAACTCTAATGCCAAAGAAACGTTGTAAATCATTATGCGGAGAAATTTAATTCAATCATTATTAACAGTAATAAACTTGTATTTTTTAAATTGCTACTTAAAATTTTTTCTACTTATTAACCAAATTAGCAAAGCACTGATATTACGGACGATGGTAAGTGTCGTGCTTGCTGCAGCAAAAGTCATATTCCATGCCGCACTGTATTTAAAACTTAATAATTCGAAATCCTGTGTGGCAATCCACTTTGCTCATCATTCTTAGTTATCAGATTAATAACAGGCATAAGTACGGTATTTTCTTAGATCAACTGTGCAAAACTGTTTTCTACCACTAAATTTCATTACCACTATAAATTTGTATTATATTAATTATACTTTATATTTTTCAGAAACACCTGCTGTTTTGGATGCCCATATTGAGGGATAACCCTCAATATGATATATATTTATACAGTCCAACTTCGATTTGCAGGTAAAAATCAAGTTACAATTCATAATGTAGACATAATACAATGTCAGGAATAATTCATGCTTAAACAAAAAGCAAATAAATAGACTAAACATTCAATATTCATCAGAAAACAAATGATTTAAAAAAAAACTTTCTATAAAATGTACACTTTTTGCTAAATGCTCCTTTTAAGATGTGCTCATATTGTAAAATACAAATATTGAAAATTGCCTGTAAAGATAAAGTAATATAAGTATAAAGTAAAGTGGGGTGCATTTTTTTGACCGGTGCACATCAGCGACGGAACCAGTAATGCAAATTTATAGAAGCCAACATATTACTACCATTAATGCAATGAGCAAATCACTGATATAATATACTAGAAGCTACATTAATAGATATACGTATATACATCATATAGGCATATATAGGTATACACCGAATATTTCGGAACAAGAAATATAGATGTCGCTAGCCCGCGATGTTGACCAAAATAATATGCGAGATGGCTCTCTATTTCTGTAGTATTACTTAACTCTATGGCTTTGGCCACTAAGCTAAATGGCCACATCAACGTGTGCAACATTGCATTTAGCATCTGAAGCAATGCTTGATACATCCATTGTTATATCCTTTCCAGCATACAAATAATTTCCCATATCGTTTTACAATGATAATTCGAACAAGGGAGGTCACCAATGCTTTATAGAAATTAATTTTTTTATATTGCTTATCTCTACACTTAAGTTTAAGCATTAAAATTTGTAGAAAAGAGTACGAAAAGTCTTTCGTATCTGTAAAGTGATTTTTGTGCATAAGAATTTGAAAGGAACAAAACATACCGATGCCTTTTTTATAATTGTGATTGTTACATTATTATTTTTATATTTATTAATTATTTATTACATGGATTCGTATATTAGTATTCATAATAATTAATACTAAAAAGGAACCTCTGTACTTTTTCCTTTCCCTGCCAGCATAAACACCAATGTCCCGCAAAATCGACCATTCTGTGCTAGCAGATACATCAATAAGATGTAGCTGACTCTCCGGTTACGAGTACGAAGCTTATATTATTTGTACAATGGCTTTTACGTAAGATATGGAAACCATTCATATCGGTCGTTCGTAACAGACTATAAATTTCAAGACTATGAAACTTCTCAAATACCCTGAATGTATTATTATGTTGATACATGATAGATATACAATTTATATATGATATTTATTTTTTATGTCACAATAACATGATTTGCAAGATTTAAATGCCTGTCTGTTATGTACTTTTTAGTCTCGATTTTTACTATTGGATAGGTTTTTAACAAATAGATGAGAATAAATTAGCATTGTGAAGCATTTTTCCAAAAAGAAAGTGAAGTAGCATGGCGTTTATGAAGGGCTTGTCCCGTGATTTTTCCCTCTCGCCTGACCGGTGTCAACAGTCAATTTAACGCACGATTATCCAGTGACAGTGGGGACATATTTCCAAAACCAAAGAAGTGTGGTGTTCCGACACGACGGAGCATTGGAGAATTTTGCTCGTGAAGTGCGACAACAAACTTTCCAGTGTACTATAGTAGGCTTTGAACTTAACGTTTGCTCCCTGCGAAAATGGATCGGGTGCTCTGGCTTGCTCGTTCTTCAGAACTCAAGTCGCTAATCTTTTATTATGGGGTTATGTGAAGGACAAAGTGTATTCCACCGCCCAACTGTAATCAAAATGCAGTAACGCGTGAGATCCGGGTTCGAAATGCAACACAAGCACTATGTTGAAGAGCGAGGTTATACCTATGTACAGATCATGACACTTAGAGCTGATCCTCTAAATTGGTTGAGAAGACTGAAAAGTTTAAAAAGAAACATGTTTTATTATTCCCCTAAATAATCAGGTACCGATGTCATTTTAAAAATAACTTTCAGGCTAGTTTAGTAATTTCAAGGTAGTCGTTTCAGATATTTTCAGGCCTAGCGTGTTAAATAATTATTATTTTATGTTTTATATAAATTCGTTATCCTTCATAGTACGGTTTTAAAATATTACCAACAGATTCTTTACAAGGGCTCTTATAGCCTCCTTTCGGCTCTAAGGGCTTATTTTTGTAGCACCTGTATGCTTGAAAAAAGTACGTAAAGATACGAGTTCATTCGATTTAAAAAAAAAAATTAAAGATCTATTAGAGATAATTGTAGTTGATGGCGTAATTAAATCATAAAGAGTTTGTATTCCAAGTTTACTTTACAAAGCCAAGATAAAAAGGATTATATCAAATGTATACCTAAGTTTATAATAATATACAAGAATTACAGATAAAAAGGGACCTAATCTAAGCCATGATGCAAAGTGAAACAATTGTAATATGTATGTTATGTATTTGTATTAAAAAAAAAAACGATTAAAAAAAATGTTAACATTTTTTTAGTACTATATTTGTGACTGCGAAACATTAATGGTCGCCCACATATTGTCTAGTTTCGCTTTGGATAAAACGATTTTCGGGTCGTTCTTAGTAGAGGAATTGACAGCTGATCTGAAATGAACGCAAGACAATATTGTCAAAATAACGTTGAAAGGTTATAAAAATGCATTTTGAACTTTTTTCTCTCATTTTCAATTTTAGTAGGAAAATAATTATTTTGGTTCAAAAGAATGTCTATTTTTACACACGTACATTATGCAAGACATAAAAGAATACAAAAAATCGAAATACTTTCCTGGAGGTTTTACTTCTATATTTGGTGGTTTTTTTTCGTAAAGTGCATTTTTTCAATTTAAAAAAGAACAAAATTTCTGATTGTATATTTTTATCTTAAGTTACGTAAGTTCAATAATGAGACATTTATGTTTATGTATTTTGTTTATTTTAATACTTACTGCTGCAATTCCGCATTAAAAGAAAATACGTCATTGACTTTCTTGACGTTATGGGGCGAATAACGGTTGTAGAAACCCCAGATGCTGTTCATTAATTTGCTGTTATACTTTAACGGAGTCAGTTCCGTAGCTGAAAGGATAATGGTATTTAATTAGACATGATAATGTTACTGATGATTCATATGTTACACATTGTATATGGTGCCTAGAAAGGCATGTAACAGATATGTGCTTAAAGAAACTTAATTTTCTCAAGGAAATAAAATACATAGTTCACTATTTCAGAGAAGTTCAATATTAAATATTATTTAGTGTATTCTCATATTCTGTTACTCTGCACATACTCTGTACTGTAGGTACTTTTTATGTAAAAAAAAGAAAAAAATATATATAGTAAGTACTATTTGAGATGTATTTCAGCAAAGGAATATTGTAGAACAATTAGGATGATAATGCACGAAAAAACTACAAACGCTACAATCCCTAGTTTTAAACTAATTTTAATTAGCTGTCCATCGCTATCGATATCATAATCGTTTGCTTTAATTTTATCAATTCAAATAAAAATCTGTATCTCTATGTATGTTCGTTATGGATTTCAAAACGGTTGAAGAAAATTTAATTGAAAGTCAATCTCCAGATTGGCTTAGTGAGTGATCAAGTGAAGTTCGTTCGAAATCGGATGATTAGGATACCAGTGCGAACGCGAGGCGGGTTGCTAGTAATTCATTACAAATTAGTACATCCTGATTTTGTATGTCATCGTTAATCGTAATACCACAACATTTTATTATCAGTTTTGAAATGGAGTTGCATTTAAAGATTATGAAACAGCACTATTCAGTAGAAGTTGTATTATTTTTTGTATCTTACCATTAATATTGAAAACTTTTGAAGATGGATTTCCTTTGTCAATGTTTGATATCTTCATATTGCGCTCGGCTTCGCGGATGCGTCCGGCGGAAAATGCCGATGGAGGAATGGACGCCATGTTCGTTTCGCACGCTGAAATAAAAAAAAATAACAAATTAGATTATATTAATATGTAACATAGTATAAAATGAAACAAAAGTGTTACAGTAACTGCGTAGATAATTTTTCTTATTTGTATTTTATCTATTTACATAGAATATTACTATTTTAGTAATACAAAACAATTGACTAATGTACCACACTTTCAATACAGATTCTATTAATTGGTAGTTTCAGATTCGATAAGCATAAATCACAGCTTTGTTATGTTTCTAGATTTTTTTTATTATATGATGCACCGTACGTTATTACCTTTGCACAGATTGAGAAGTATGTTTTCTGATTTCAAACTGTTGCAAGTTCGATTGCGTTTGTCGCCGTAATGGCCCGAGCTTAAGCTGTCAACAACGTTAAGGTGGGAAAGACCAGTTAGCACCATGAAACCTTTGTCTAGAGAATGCAGGATAAAAGAATGGGCCGCGGCCGTAGTAGCACAAGAACACGAGTAACGCGAGACGTATCAGATATGACACTGTTCGAGACGGCTGCGAAATACTGACCCTAAGTTGAGTTATCGGTCTCAGCCAGTGTAATGGGTCATTCTAAGATAAAGCGACGATTTTACTTTATTATAATGTAGGTATAAGCACGTAGGTTAGGCGAATGCACTTTCGTTTATTTTTTCTAAATTAATCAATCTTAGTTTACTGATTTAATGATTTTTATGACAATCGATTAGGCCAAAGTTAATATAAAACGTCCGTTAAGTTAAGCTTTGGCCAAATTAGGTTAGACTTTTTGAAAACTTGGATAAGTTTTTATCCATCAATCGATCTGTGGTAGGGCCACGTAGCAGCTTCAGATGTTGCACGAATGGACAGGCTCGTGCGGGGAAGTATCACGGCCATCCACAGTTCTTCTTGTACGTAACCCTAGAAATGGATTTTATCCTTTACACATAGTACATGTTACAATCATTAAGATTCATTTTTTTTACTTTATTTGACTTATTCATGTTTTAGTACGTAAACTTATATTAAATTCTATTTGGTGGTAGGCACTTACTGATAACAGATATTGGTGGCACAGTTGCTAAGCCATTGGTTGCGGCACCGGGGGTTCGATTCCCATACAGGCCAAATATTTGTGAAACGCGCATCGGATTGTTCCGGATTTTGTTGTTTGTTCCCAAAAAGGGTTGATGTCAGACCGGCGGACAGTCGTGAAAAAATCCAAGCCAGTAGCATTAACAACATTGTTCACTAGTGCCGATCCCATACATATAGGTGGGATAACTTTGAAATTGGAACTGGGGAATTCTGCATAAATATTCCGGGTCTACGGAAAAATACTGGAAATTAATTTACTGAAATTGTTTGATATTAATGTCTCGTTTTATTGCTGTATACATATTATCTTCGAGGGATTTTAAGAGTAAACAGAAGTTTTATATTTACTTTAAGAACTGATAGTAACTAAAACGACGGCTGCTTCGTTCGGGGTCACTTAACTCATTTCCTATCACATGGTCGCACATCTTGACCCGCAAGCCCCTGATCTAATTTCATTAAATTTATATGTATATTGTACGGATAGGAACATGCGAAGGAGTATCTTCAAAAAACTCTACAATCAATAATAATCAAATGACTGAGTACAATTGCGGAAGAAACGAGCCGAAGAAAATAGCGAGCGCAGAAGAATGTTCTAAAATAAAAATAAGGTTTCATATATTTCATTGCGTCTCTTTATTTACATCAATTAATAAATCATGTCCCACAGCTGAACACGGGCATAGTCTCAGAATGATTGTGGTTAACCCATAGTCCACAAACGGCCAACAGGCCAAGTGCGTTTTTTATACATTTTTTTAACACATACTTATTGTATCTTGTATTAACTGATGTTTTTGCTTTTAGTCCCGAGACTATTAAAGCTTCATCTGACGCAGAACCGGTGGGCTAGCCAGAACCCACGGGTTTGGTCCCTTCGCTGTGGTTAGGTTAGGTTAGGTTAGGTTAGTTTTATCTACGCAGTAGAACCCAAAACAATTATTGTTAAAATTTTTGTCTGTTGTGCGTTTGTGTGCGCTAATCTCAGAAGCGGCTTAGCCGATTTGGACTGAAACTTTCACCAATGCATTGTAGTAAACTTCACTTAACATGTATTGTTAGATTTAAATCGGTTCACAAATATAAATGACAATTTAAAAAAAAATCTATAGTATTTAAATTAGATACAAGTCAAATTTATGTTTTGTATAAGTACTACCAGTTACAACTTCTTAAAATTAGGTAGTTAGTAAGTATATTTATGTTATTCTCATAGCAAATGTCAGAAAGGGACAAAAGCCTCTGTGCTGACTATTACTATCTGCTCGTATAGCAAGCATCCATGCCATATCCATGCATACTTGCAATGTCATGAAAATCTTATGCTCGTTGCATATGTATATTTTTGTCTTTAAAATATCATTGCATTTGATTTGATTTATTGTGATATTTAAAGAACAGTGATAAACATATTTATTTATATTTAAAACTTTCCTATTAATTTCGCGGTTAACCACCTACATATGCGGATATATAGGCATATCATGACCCAAAACGTTTCTGCGAATCGCCAACCTCTTGTACTATCTTTTAACCTCTGCACCCTGCAACAGTTTTAATGTTTATTTTGTTTTAAATTGTTTATATTACTAAGTCACATGGTCTAACGTATATCAGATTTGGCGGAACAGATGGTTGAAAGTAATTCAATATTATCGATTACTTGTAGGTTTTTTTTATAGACTGAGACCTTAGGGCATCACGATGATCATTTCTAGCCTAAAATATGTCAAAATAGTAAAACTTTAAGCACTTTTTCTTGGTAGTTCCCTCACTCACAATGAGGATCGTGACTATGTTTGTTGTTGCCATTTGGTTCGTTCCTGCACCAGTTCTATTGAACTGATGATCTATTAGATCATTGTAGAGTTTCTCCTGCAGCCTCTACGATGCTTTTACACCATCTTGTTGAAATTTGGCCCTTGGAGCGCTTTCCGTGCATCTGTCGCACGAACACCTGCTTCTCCAACTGTTGTATATGTGATACAAAGAGGCTTGGTTTGCGGTCTCGACATAGAGTTGTGGTTTTTTTATGTGCTCTTGTAAATACAATTAGTCTCTCATCATCCATGGAATCTTTAGAATTCGGCCACCAAATTTTCAGCACCACATTGCCTAGCTCTTATTATTAAACTCAATATCATTTGTAACTTCGTATAAGCGCCTGACATAAGTAATTAGCATAATTGTTCGCGCTAATAAACATTATCTCAGACGCATATTAAGGAAATATTATTTTGCCAAAATTTTACTTCACATAAAAATCGAGAGCATGTGAATGTAGTTTTGTTTTCACGTAATAAAAATAAATAAATCCCAGATATAGTTTTTTAGTTTAAATATCTAGTTTTTGGACATAGTAAGAGCCCGCCCAATACAAATGCGGTCCATAAATTGACAATCTACATACAGAAAATATACCATAATTTAATAACCCACCTATCGTGGAAACAAAATGATTAATATGTAATTATCGACTGCTTAAATATATATAAGTTAAGATATAAATATCAGCGAGTATTAATGGGGACGGATAATTGTAATCTGTGTATTGTCTGAAAAAGAACACATTTTTGGTCGCACGTTTGCGTCCATGACCCGAAATCAATCCGTAGGCTGCGTGGAACAATATTTTATAAATTCTTTAGCACACAATTTTATATAAATCACTATTATTTGAACTGAAATAATTAGCGAAATATAAGAAGAAAATACAAATAAAACAAAACGAGTGCAACGGGCAACGGTCCTACCCTTTGTAGGACATTCTTGCTCTGTGAAGCCAGCTATCATAGTGAAGCGGAGTAGATCGATTTATAAAAGTACTCTTTAGGAGTAGAGACGCGATTAGTGCAACTTCAAACGATTCATTAATGGTGTCACACGTCCTCCGTGTTTTCTACCTTTATTGAACAAATGTAAAAGCAAAAAAATTACTTCTCAAACGGATATTGAGCACTATAATTATAAAAAAGAAACACATATCACCAGAGTTCGAACATAAGGAGGCACGCTCGTTGACAATATTTTAAATAACACTAACACTAGATTCTATAAAGCAGATCCCCAACGAGTGCAATGGGAAACCGTCGCAGAGCACGATAAGAATAGGATATCCAGAAAAGTATCGATTTAGCGCCTAATTAAAACAACTTTATTTATCAGTTCGCATCGTATATTCATGATTATTTCATTATACTTAAATACTAACACAAAATTGTACATTGATTAAGAACTCTTTTTATTTCATAAAATTATTTCAATAAATCACAATAAAAATATTTTCGATATATCTTGTGTTGAGTCGCTATCGTAAGTTTTACCTGATTGGTGAAAAGCTAAAATCGATCGAATTAAAACAAAAACGTTGTGACTGTACTGAGGTAGGTTAGTGAAACTAAATATTACAAAAACTACGACATTTAGACATTTACGGGATATTATTTTTCATAAGCCATTAATTGTATTTTTAAGTACTTCGGTGCTGCTGACACTGCCATGTTCAGTTATAATAAATGCTGCTGTGAGTTTATTTTAACAAAAAGTTATTAAAAAAAATCATATTTGGAGACCTGTGTCAATCTCATTTTTAGGTCCTTTAAATACAATGAATTATATAAAAGAAACAAGTAAAGTAACTTTGTAACATTGTCTAAATGATACAATAACAATAAATAACATAATAAATAAAAAGTTTTGGAAATGAGTAAAGTTCACCAAGTTTAAAATACTGTTTAGCTCAGTCAGCACCCACAATCAGAGATTATTACCTGTAAAAAAATAAAAGATATGAATGCATGGAGCACATATTACCCATCCATAATTCTAAGTTAACTTGCATAATGCTGTTATGATCTATAAAATTAACACTAAATTATGTTTCATTTCATAATACTTTTTAAAATCAATTGACAATACAAAGATTTAGTTTTGGAAAAATGTAATGAACTACTTGTTATTAGAAGTTTCAAGAAAACAAGTTTTTATAATCACTAAATGATCTGTCAAAGTCTTAAGTGGTTTTTACATTAAGGGCTAACAGTTTTTACTTTGTCTCTTGTCACATATTTATCTCTGGTTATTTTTAAAGCATTGTGTTTAGTGGGGAGAACTCGTTAGGTTTGACAAGAAATCGCTAACCATTCTTTGAGCTGTAGAATAAATAATCTTGGAAAGATGAAAGAAGAGTTTGAAGAAAATTTTAGTAACTTAAAACTGATTTCAAATCTCTTAATTACATTTTCTATTTGATTTTGAGGAACGTTGTCTACATCGGAAGTTCTTCAGGAAATACCTGAAAGAGTGAAATTAATATGGGAGCTAAAGTGAACAAAAACAAAAATAATTTTTTGAAATGGTAAATGAAGATGTTCCGAGTTAACAAACAACCAAATTGAGAATCGCCTCCTTTTTTGAAGTCATTTGAAAGTGGTAATTTAAGCAGGGTGGTAGGGCCACGTAGCAGCCTCGGCTGTTGCACGAATGGGCAGGCTCGTTCAGGCAAGTACCACAACCTCACAGAAACCGGCGTAAAGTGGAAGTATAAAACTTTCGAGTACTGAGTGAGGTGGCCGGAGCCCCATTTTCAAAAGGTTGTCAACGCGTCTGGAATCCTCGGGTGTAGCAGACGTCCATGGGCGGCGGTATCCACTTAACATCAGGTGAACCGTCTGCTCGCTTGGCAACTTTTGATGTATCCGTGGCGCCATTACCCAGATAGTAGCTGCGGCGCCGGGGGTCGTGGGACGATGCCCGGACATGGGACAACTATTTGTGTAAACCACATATAATTTTTTTGGTTCTGTGTGTTCGTCCACGTGAAATTTATGTATGGGAGACATCCTTACAACACAGGATAATTTTATCTTGCAGTATTGGAAATGTTTTAAACAAAAAAAAATTGAAGGGCGAGCTGACCTACTGTGCAACGTTCATCGTCTAATAGGTCCTGATGACAGGCGGTACGGTCTTGCACTCCTCCTGGTCGAGGGTGTGGTCGATGACGGGCCGGTACGTGAGCTTCGTGGCGCCAGTCTCCGGGTCCGTCTCGGCCAGCGTGTGCTTCCTCCAATGCTTCTCGAAGGGCAGCTTTGTCTGTTCAGTGACAATATCACAGTCGATAAGTGCGCTACTAAAGAAAATTTCGGTACCAATCACCTGCTTATTTTTAATAAACGCAACAGTCTTCGTGATTAGACTGAGACAGAGCACAATGTGCAGTATCACTCAATCCGTGTTAAGTTACACCATGCAATTCATCTTTATTAATCTGACCATTAAACGCCATGAATAAAAAATATGACTGGTTTCTTCTGCAGCTTAAATCAAACCACAAAGGACACAGAACTTATTCCCTTTGCTTAGAGAGATATGTCAGTTTTCGGCTACCTGTCCTTCCAGGGGCTTGGAGTAGTCGTACTCATCACGTCGCGTTTTGAAGTCCTCCCTGGCGTGGGCGCCGCGGGACTCCTCGCGTGCCAAAGCCCCCTCCACGATCTGCACCGAGTTCACCAGCAGGTTCTGCAGCTCCAGTGTCTCCACCAGGTCCGAGTTCCAGATCAGCGAGCGGTCCGACACGCGGACGTCCTTTATCTGCTTGTAGATCTCGTGGATTTGACGCTGCCCTGTTGGCGGACGCACGAGTTACGTCAATCATAGTGGCACCAGCAAAAGTTGCCAGTGTTTTTCAAGATTACTGTGAAATCTTCAGAGTACAGATGTTGCACTAAAGTTATGACGTACGGCACACGAGAAAACCAGTACCTTCCTCTAGGGTGCTCTTCTGGCGGAACACAGCTGCATTGGTCTGCATGCACCTCTGCATTCGCAGACGTAGGTCAGCCGTGGAGATATTGCCGTTCGCATAGCGGACACTGTCCAAGTTCGCAATGCTCGCCTCCCCAGTTGTCTGCGAATGTTTAGAGTATAATGTTAACACGGAGTATTACGCATTAATTGAAATGCACAGTACACGTCAAAGGACTGGCTGAAATTCTCTTCCAGGACAACCTAAAGGATGATTCTGTAATATAAAACTGTAGGTATAAAAGTGGAAAATACAGTACACCAGTGTTTTTAATGTGTATGCCTTTAAAAGGATTCACAACATACAATATATCATTCAAGGAACATTGAATTCTTTCATAAATGACGCCATTAGCCCATAAATAGAATTTTATTAAAAGTATCGTAAAATATATATGAAGAAGGTCAAAGGAAAGGAAGTCACTTTTTTTTCGTTAATTTTTAAGTGTGAATCATTACAACCAATTAATAAAATTTTATAAAACTTATATATTGAGTGCTTAAAAAAGTTTTCATTCAAGATTAAAATTAAATACAAAGTACACTTAATGTGTGTAGTAGACATGAAAGAAAGAAAGAAGCATACTTCTACAATGGACATCTTCCTTACAAGCTCTTTTTATTGTGAGAAGAGGCATTTAATTTTGCAAAAAACATATCTATGTCAATAGAATAATTAATTAAGAGGGGAGAGATAGATAACTATTAGAGTAATTGGGGTCAGGGTAACAGAAATGCTAAGTAGTGCATTCATGGTTGATCTTGGCTGTAAGGTACTTCCAATTATAATATTTTTTTCTCCGAAATTCTTTTCCATTATACAGGAAAATTAAACTTGTGGTGATACCGGTCTAGTTTTGAAAGGACATAACAATTATTTATAACAGACTATAGTATATACAGCGTGTCGTTACCATCGCGACAATAAATGAACACACGTCTAACGCTACTTGCCAATAATCATAAAAAAATATTAACGTTAAACAAAATCAATAATTAAAAAAAAATATTTTTCAAACAAACTAATTAAGTAAAAGAGAAACAAAATTTGTAACATCCTATACAACTCGCGCCACAGCGTCGTATTATAAGCCTCTCCTTCTAACAGTATGTTTTGTCTCTTTTAAATTCATTCAACCCATTCATGTGCTTTGTGACTTTTACAAATGAACTTTACGTTACGCTTTTATAGGTAAGGCTGTTCTAAAATTCTTTGTTTTGGAAAATTTTATAAATCTGTAAATATTGATGTTTAAAAAATTTGAATTTTGAAAAAAATTATCCCCTTTATGTGTGTTCATTTATTGTCACGATGGTAACGACACGCTGTATATAACTGCTACATATGTTACTACGTGCGCTAAAATAGGACAATGGTAATAATATTTTTATCTGCTAATGTCATTGATCTTTTTGACTGCAAAAAAAGTTTATAATTGATATGATGCTGTTGTTAAATAAGACGGTAGGATATTAAACAGAACCAGATAACTCAACATTTCTCAAAAATAATTATTATCTTTTCCAAATCATTCTAAATTTCCTGAGATGTTTTCACCTCCGAGCGCGATTAAAAGACCATTAATATGATATGATGAATACAATGACTTTTAGTGTAACATAAAAACGCTTAATTGTAAGATTTAAAGACACAATTAAACAATGGTCTGACACTTTTAGATTAATTTTCCATCCATCAAGTGTCAGACCACTGTTGTTGGGAGTTCTCATACTCTAAATAAAGTGGATTTAGACAATTTTACACCAATAATATTCAACAACTCTACCATCCCTATCATCCAAAACATACAATTGAAGAAATTTTATATGAGTACCACCTTGTCATCAGAATAACCATTGTAATTACGACATTTAAAAGAGTATCAAATGATAGCATAATTGATTTTAAATCGTCTTTTAGAATCGCTTTCGTTTTATAATGTATAGCAAAGAATTATTAACAAGTCAATAAGGCAAGTCCGTTTGGGGAAGTACAAAAACCTCATAGAAGACCGGCGTGAAAAATGTGAGAAAAAAAGAAAAGGTATATTACTTCTCGTGAGCGTTTCGTCTGCTGAGTGAGGTAACTAGGCCCAATGTTATTAAAAGGTCGCATCGACAATCCCACGAGTGTTTTTTGTCTTCTACACATTTTAATGTTTCATCTTAAGTGCAGATCTCTGCAATAAATCTGCAAAAATTTTTATAGTGCTAATCTTAGCACTATAAAAATTTTAATTTCTAATAGCAATGTCCGAATTGTAATTTGCAATGTTCGAATTGTAAAACGACATACGAAATTGTTAAGTGAAAAGTAAGTGTTTGAAAATGATATAAAGGTTATAATCTAATATATAAAATTCTCGTGTCACGGGGTTCGAACTTGAACTCCTCCGAAACGGCTGGACCGATTTTTACCAAATTTTATATGCGTATTCAGTAGGTCTGAAAATCCGCTACTATCTATTTTTCGTCCCCCTAAATGTTAAGGGGGTAGTCCACCCCTAATTTTTTTTTTATTTTTTATATAAAACTTTTTGTTTCTATTTTTTTATGACACAGCATACAAAAATACATACAACCCTAAATTTTCACCCCTCTACGCAGACGTGGTCGCGGGCAGCAGCTAGTAAGATATAGAATAATGGATGCGCTGAGCATTGATTGAAATGCGAAGAAACTATGTAAATAAAAGGCTTGATATTTTTGTCGGTGTGGCTATTACGTTTAGCTTAGTGGTTAAAGGGTTTGAGCGCGAATCCCAAAGACGCGGATTCGATTCCCAAAACGGCGAAAAAGTTTTCGTACTTTTATTTACACATTTCAATGTTTCATATTAAGTGCAGAGAATAGCACTATAAAAATTAAAATTTCTCTATAGGTTTACGGTTTTTTACGGTGGTAGGGCCACGCAGCAGCCTCGGCTGTTGCACGAATGGGCAGGCTCGTCCGAGTAAGTACCACGACCTCGCAGGAGGCCGGCGTAAAATGGAAGAATGACACTTTCGCGTTTCGTCTGGTGAGTGTGGTGGCCGGAGCCGAATTTTCAAAAGGTTGTCAACGCTTCTGTAGTCCTCGGGTGAAGCAGATGTCCATGGGCGTCGGTATTCACTTAACATCAGGTGAACAGTCTGCTCGTTGGGCCACATTTCACATAAAGAAAAGGTTATTGTGTAACGAAGGAGGCGCACCTCCTTGAGGGGCGGCTGCGCGTCACCGGGGCGGCTGTTCTCGGCGACGGTGAGGGCGCACGCGCGGCCGAAGACCACGATGTCGAGCAGCGAGTTGGCGCCGAGCCGGTTGGCGCCGTGGACGGACGCGCACGACGCCTCGCCCGCCGCCAGCAGGCCGGGCACCACCCGGTCCTCGCCCTCGCGGTGCGTGATCACCTGCGGGCGGACCACGTTCAGAGACCGCCTCGTCAAGACCGGGACCGGTCCTTATTTCCTCTTATTTCCATTTGAGAGACGGTGGCAAAATAGTATTTTCTTGCAAGAAAATTTTTGCGCTACGTGCTAACAGAGTAGAATGCAATTTAAAAAACTAAAAAAGCCGACTGCGTTTCTGTGTGATTTTTTATTTTGATATAACCAGTGTCACTCTCACAGTAAATACGAATATAACGACACCTCTCAAGCTAAAATCCATCAAGTCGTTCAGGCAGCAGAGCGTGCCAAACATATTATACATACATACATACTCTCGAAAAACATAACCCTCCTTCTGGCGCAGTCGGGTAAATAGAGCTGATATAAAGGCCCAAAAGCGGGGCATGTGTAGGCACAAATTGACCAAATGAGCGAGGGGTATACCTCTCCGCGGAAATTGGTGGGCGTGCCGCCCATGTTGTAGTGCACGGTGGGTAGCACGGGTATTGGCTCCTTGGTGACGTCAACGCCGGCGAAGATCATGGCCGTCTCCGAGATGCCGGGCAGCCGCTGCTTCAGCTGCTCGGGCGGCAGGTGGTGCAGCTGCAGATGCACGTGGTCCTTGGCCGGCCCGCAGCCGCGACCTGCCGATGAACGAAACCAAAATGTTTTTAACAAAGAATTTGAAAATGTTAAAAAAAAATCAAACAGTCAGATTTGGAATCATGGATCAGCCAAACACTTTTGAAGTCGCTGGTGTTATAACAATGCCAACCGTCTTCAAAGTAGCATAAATCCTTATTATTAATTAATATTAATAAAGGCGAAAGTTTGTATGTATGGATGGATGTTTGTTACTCTATATAGCTTATACATTAAAATAACACATAGACTATTGTTAGCGCCGTTTCTCAAAAAAATCCACATTTACCCTCTAAACTCTTAAATCCTTCTCGGGCGTTCTTACCCCCCCTCACCCCGCACGCCTACGTATTACATATATAATGCGCCGAGAACAGTCGGCACAAAAGTAATAGAATACTAACTACCGCGCCGCGATCTTATAAAATATATTAAAGGTGATAGGGAAGCTTTGTGCGCACTAAAGGAAAGGACAACCGCAAATTCGACCGCCACCTCGACAACATCTGCATCTAGAGTTGAATCCTGAAGTAGCTACGGAGAAGGCGCCTTGCAGTTACTAAGGTAGGCGTGCAATTTATGTAATGAACGCCCTTTCCTTTTCACCAGCATCCTTTTACAGTCCAGGATCGAAGGAACACAAGCTTCTTGAAATTATTTAGTCCATTATCAACCACCTTATTATTTGGTCCTTCGAGCCGGATTTCCTACAGAATTATTTCCTGTATACCCGCATATATTTATATAATCCCTATTACTAATATACTTCACAAGCTGTCTTGTATATTCAATAAGTATTTTCAAGCAGCTTCTCACCGCCCTTATAGTGTTGCCTATATTATATATAAATTCCTTAAATTTCCCGCTATTAGGCACCCTATAAGATTACTTTATATATCCGCATATACATTATATATTATATACACAATACCTATACTTTTCGTTAAACATCACTATTTAAATATTTATAATATAATTATTTTCAATTTGTTAAGTTATTTATTGAAAACGTGGTTCACGCGCATAAAACTACCCGCTTCTAAGATTATTGTCCATAGTTCTGTATCGAGAAGCTTCGAGAAAAATGGCGACTAAAATATCAGCTAATGAAAATAAGCAGTAATTAAGTATACTTTTAGCAAAACGTAATGCTTTATTCGAACGCGTTCAAGATATTTATGAATTAGCTAAAAATGCACAATTAACTCAAGATAGTAAAGATAAATTCCTTAATTCATGCATAACAGTGGACATGATTCGCACAGAGTTTCATTCCGTATTGGATGAGTACAATAAACAGCTGTTGACTATCGAGCCCACAGCTCAGCCTAACTATCAAGCCTACGCGTCTTTTGAAGACCTGTATTGTTTTATAAAGAGCGTAATGATGAAGTGTTCAAACTCATCATCGTCGGTTAGTGCCGGCACCACGACTCCTAGGTCCAAACCTAGACTTCCGCCTATAGAACTTGTCGCGTTTGACGGAAATATAAGTAACTGGCCGTTATTTTATGCTAGTTTTAAATCTACGGTTCACGACAACCAAACACTCACGGACGCAGACAAACTATACTATCTGATCGGAAAGCTGTCCCCTAGGGCTCAATCAGTATTTGCTGGTGTGACTCCAAGCGCTGATAATTATAATATTATTTTTCAATCGCTCCTTGATAGATACCAGGATACTCGTGTCTTGGCATCGTTTTACTTAGACCAGGCTTTCAATCTTAAATTGTCGGGTCGAGCATCCGCCGCTAATTTTGAATTATTTATGGATAAGTTCGTAACTGCGGTAAACTCCTTAAGGAATTTAAACATAGATAACCTCTCGGACTACATTCTTTTGCATATAGCTTTAAAAAAATTCGATAAAGAATCCATACATTCATTTGAGATGTGTTCTCGTGAACACAAAATACCTACACTCGATTTATTTACTAAATTCGTAAAGGATCAATGTCGTATATATCGTAATATGCAATCTAATTCGTCCGAGTTTTCTAACAATAAATCAAAACAAAGGTATGAAATGAATTCTCGCAATACTCCGCCTAACCCGCAGTCTTATGTTACGTCATCGCAATCTGTGAAGTGCCTGTGCGATAATATCGTTCACGAGCATTTTTATAAATGCCCTGCGTTTAATAAAATTACACCATTAGAACGTTTTAAATGTGTAAAGGATAACAATGCCTGTGTAAATTGTCTAAGCATAAAGCATAAGACAGGCAATTGTTCTTCAAAAATTAAATGCCGTTCATGTAATCAGCGTCATCATAGCATGTTACATTTCGATAGAAATTCGAATAATATCATTAGCGATGACTCACGATCACGACCGACTAATGAATCTTCTACGAGCCCTAATGCTGCCACACGGCCATGTTTACAATCGTTATGCGCTACGTCCATTGCTGCGTCGCGCTCTAAAGAATCGTATGCGGGCAGTGTAGATAATACGGTGCTACTTGCGACGGCGCAGGTGATTGTTTACGATGCACATAACAAGCCGCATCTTGTACGTTGTTTACTAGATAGCGCTTCACAAAGTAGCTTTGTAACTTTTAGTTGTTTACGGCGTCTTAAGCTAACGAATAATTTAAAAAATTCACATATTATAGTAAAGGGTATAGGTGGGTCGGAAAATTCAGTTAAAGGTTTGATTGATATGAAAATACACTCGCGCTTTAACTACGACGTTCATTTCGATATTTCATTGCTTATTGTCGATCGCATTACGGACATAATGCCGTCGGCCGCTATTGACTTAACCGCATTGTCTCATTTACATAAACTACCGCTTGCAGACCCCACGTTTGGGACTCCAGGGTCTGTTGATATGCTAATAGGTGCAGCCATTTTCCCTCATTTGTTATTAGCTAGTAAAGTTCATAGGAATAATAAACTTAATAATACTTATAAATATAATAATACTTACAATGCACCTTCCGTCATTGAGACGGTTCTTGGTTATGTAATTATGGGTTCCGTGCCTACGTTGCATAATAAAACATATACCACTTCTTGTTGTTCCGTTGTTAAGGACACCCTTGACCCCCTTCTGAAGCGATTCTGGGAGTTAGAGGAGGTTACCACATCGCCCACACCGAGTCAGGACGATCTCGAGTGTGAAGAACACTTTCGCGCCACCACTGTTCGTGATGACAGTGGCAGGTACATAGTATCATTGCCATTTAATGATGATCCATTTTCACTGGGGGAATCTTATAGCACTGCGCTCAAGCGCTTTTATTGTTTAGAGAGAAAGTTTCAAGCGTCACCTGAGTTCTATACTGCTTATAATGAAGTCATTCGTGAATATATAGACAAAGGTTATTTGATTCCAGTTAGTACGAGTGAAAACGGTACCATTCATCCTACTTATTATATCCCGCATCACGGTTTGTAGTTCGCGAAGACAAATCGAGCAGCAAATTGAGAGTAGTTTTAGATGCGAGTTCTAAAACCACCTCGGGCAAATCGCTTAATGATATTTTGCATGCGGGCCCCAACCTACAGGGGGACTTATTTAATATTATAATTAATTTCCGATTATTTAAAATAGCACTTACTGCAGATTGTAAACAAATGTTCATGCAAGTAATGATGTCTGAAAAAGATCGCGATTATCAACGTATTTTGTATAGATTTGATAAAAATCACTCATTACAAATATATCGCTTCAACCGCGTTTGCTTCGGACTCAAGTCTAGTCCATACCATGCGTTACGAGAGGTTATTTATCACTTTCATCAGCTCATAGCTGATGAAAGTGATAAATATCCCGCTGCTGCCTCCGCTGTTTCTTCCGCATTATACATGGACGACTTAGCAATTAGTGTAATGACAGCGTCACAAGCGGAAGCGATTTCTAAAGAACTTATTCAATTCTTTAAGTTGGGGCAATTCGATGTCATTAAATGGACAAGTAATTATAATGATGTCCTGGCACATATTCCTGACTCCCATAAGGCCCCTCAGGAAGTTGAATTCGAGCGTTCGATACCGCAGAAGATTTTGGGTATGCATTGGGATAGGTCAAATGACTGCTTCTACTTTAGGGTTTACACACCACATGATAAATGCACCAAGCGCACAATTCTGTCTACAATTTCTAGACTCTGGGATATAATGGGGTTTGCTGCTCCCTCCATTTTGTATGCCAAACTCATAATTAAGGACCTTTGGTTGCTAAAATGTGATTGGGATGACGTACCACCGAATCATATAGTTTCTCCTTGGAATCAGTTTTGTTCTGAACTCTACGCACTCAATAGTTTACGAATCCCTCGTCACCTTGGTATAAGTAAGGGATGTGACATACGGCTTATCGGGTTTGCCGATGCCAGCGTGCGTGCTTACGGAGGCGTCGTGTACGTGCAGGTACAAAATGACCACAAATATAATGTGCAACTTCTGTGTGCAAAGTCTAAGGTTGCTCCCATAAAAACTATTTCGGTCGCGAGACTAGAACTGTGTGCAGCAGTCCTGTTAGCTAGATTGCTTCGAAAGGTTTCGGACAATATATCCTCTAGATACAAGGTGAAAGAGTTATTCGCCTTCAGCGATTCTAAAATAGTGCTTGCGTGGATAAATTCATCACCACACCGTTGGCAAACCTTTGTCGCCAATCGGGTAGTAACACTGACTGAACTTATCCCCGCCAATCGGTTTTATCACGTTGCCGGCTCCGAGAATCCCGCTGATTGCCTTTCGCGTGGACTTACTCCAAAGAGTCTAATTGAACACGACTTATGGTATAATGGCCCTCCATGGGCTTCCCGAAATCCCTCAGAGTGGCCTATCAATACTTTCGATCATAATGAGCCCATTGATGGTATTCCAGAGCATAAGTCTACCGTGCATGTAGTTACAACAGACGTCTCTCAATGTTCGCTAAGTAGACTTGTGCAACGAGTATCGTCATGGTCAAAATTGTTACGTATAATAGTGTACATGTATCGCTTTATAAAAAAACTTCCTGTCCGTGAATTCGTTTCTAGTTGCGACTTGCAATTCGCGGAAAACAAACTTATTTCTTATCTGCAGAATTTGCATTTCGCAAAAGAGATCGAGTCTCTAAAATATAATAAACGTTGTTCCTCAACGCTTTGCAAGCTTAGTCCATTTCTCGATGAAAATAATATCATTCGTGTTGGGGGCCGACTCTCAAACTCCTCCGAACACTTCGACTACAAACATCCATATATATTACCGCGTCACGACCGAATTGTAGAATTACTTATTGAATATTATCATAAAAAATATTTACATGCCGGACCAGAGTTGCTTATGTCCTCACTAAGGAGTAAATATTGGATACTCGCCGCTAGACGAATTATTCGTCACATAATACACAAATGTAATACTTGTTTTAAGTCTAAGCCACGTCCCGTTTTTCCGCCCATGGCTGATCTTCCTAGTCATCGCGTGAATCAATATCAAAAGCCCTTTACGCATACTGGTTGCGATTACGCTGGTCCCCTACAATACACGCCTATTCGTGCACGTGGTGTAAGGAGTCGTAAAGCTTGGTTGTGCGTATTCACTTGCTTAACAACTCGCGCTACGCATATTGAAATTGCAACAGATTTAAGTACTCCGTCATTTTTGGCTGCTTTAAAGAGATTTCTCTCTCGCCGCGGCCCGACAAAGTGTCTTTACACAGATAACGGGACTTGCTTCGTTGGTGCGCACTCTTACTTACGAGATCTATATAAATTTCTTGACACTGAGTATAGACCTCACCTTCAGGAAGAGCTTGCTGAGAACCGCATTGAATGGAAATTCATACCACCTGCATCCCCTCATTTTGGCGGCTGTTGGGAGAGCATGATTAAGGTTATTAAGTCACACCTCTTCAAGGTAATAGGTCAACAAATCCTCTCTTACGAAGAGCTCTTGACAGTCTTGACGCAAATTGAGGCACTCCTTAATTCGCGTCCTTTGACCGCCATGAGTAGTGATCCAGCGGAACCATCCGCACTCACGCCCGCGCATTTTTTAAATACTGTCCCGTTAGCATCGATACCTGCGACGGACACGAACTCTTTAAGCTTAATCCAGCGACATTCTCTGTTAGATCATCTTGTCCAGAGTTTCTGGCAGCGATGGCGTAGTGACTACTTGCATAAATTGCAAGAAAGAGCTAAATGGAACACACCTTCTGTACCCATACGAGAAGGAACGGTAGTGGTTATTTTCATCGACAACGCGCCCCCTCTCTCTTGGCCGCTGGGAGTCGTGGAAAGGGTTCACTTTTCTAAAGACGGAAAAGCACGAGTCGTTACTGTAAAAACTGCCAAAGGCACCTTTATACGTCCAGTGGTGCGCTTGTGCCCACTACCAAATCAATAGCCGGCTTGATGCTTAGGCTAAGTACATAGTTATAGTAGGTATATATATATTGTATTTTCGTATTATTAATTCTCATACAAATAATTTCATATATTTTTAATATAGCTTTATCATATACTAACACGCAGCGGATACGTAAATGTATTATATTTTATATTTTATATTAATATAATTCCTTAAAGGCAACCCTTTAGGGCCGGGGGGATGTTAGCGCCGTTTCTCAAAAAAATCCACATTTACCCTCTAAACTCTTAAATCCTTCTCGGGCGTTCTTACCCCCCCTCACCCCGCACGCCTACGTATTACATATATAATGCGCCGAGAACAGTCGGCACAAAAGTAATAGAATACTAACTACCGCGCCGCGATCTTATAAAATATATTAAAGGTGATAGGGAAGCTTTGTGCGCACTAAAGGAAAGGACAACCGCAAATTCGACCGCCACCTCGACAACATCTGCATCTAGAGTTGAATCCTGAAGTAGCTTCGGAGAAGGCGCCTTGCAGTTACTAAGGTAGGCGTGTAATTTATGTAATGAACGCCCTTTCCTTTTCACCAGCATCCTTTTACAGTCCAGGATCGAAGGAACAATTCTTGAAATTATTTAGTCCATTATCAACCAACTATAACATATAAAGATATTGTGTGAATTGTACAAAATATATGTAATGATAAGTGTCAAATAAGTAGTGTATAATAAAATCTCATTGTTAATACCCTTTGGTCGCGCGGGTGAAGCCGCGGATAACAGTTAGTAACGACTTAAAACATTGAATAAAAACATTCTTTCTTATCGCTACCTAATGCAATGATTATTAATCATATCTTATAAAGTGGAAGTATGACAAATACTTTCGCGTTTGAGGTAGCCGGAGCACAATTTTCAAAAGGTTATCAACGCATCTGTAACCCTCGGGTGTAGCAGATATCCATGGGCGGCGGTATTCTCTTAACATCAGGTGAACCGTCTGCTCGTTTGGCAACTTTTCACATAAAAAAAAGATGACGCGTGTCCACACTGCGCGGCGCATAAAAATTGTTCCGCTTTTCATTATGTGACATGAATGTGAAAGATGATATAGACAATATGATACGGCAGAGATAGCAGTCTATAGACTTGCAATCTAATTACACTCAATTTAAGTGCCTCAGTTTCGATGCGCTAGTGTTATATTTACCTAGTATTTGTATATCATTGGCGATTACCGACTGTTTATTGCGACCCGGAGCGGTAGACAGGGGTTAAGAGGTTTCACTGATCTTCTGATCTTTGAAGTTTTTGTTTGCATATATGTAATATTAAGATCCATTTTTTGGAACGAATAATCGCTTCAATTAAGGCAAACACACATATGTATTTACTTACAAAAGAAAAGTACCTATGTTTAAGTATGTTTGTCAGTTACCTAATACTCTTAGTACAAGTATTGCTTAGTTTGGGACTAGATAACGAAATCCTGAAATATCGTAATGTAGGAGAATTTGAGGGGATAGTGAGTTGCTCCCTACCTTCCATGATCTCGACGGTCATGGCGCGGGAGACCACGTCGCGGCTGGCGAGGTCTTTGGCGACGGGCGCATATCGCTCCATGAATCGCTCGCCCTTCGCATTTACCAGGAACCCGCCTTCGCCACGGCAGCCCTCCGTCATCAAGCATCCCGCCCCATAGATACCTGACCAAGCCACCATTGATTTTTAATACTTTTTTATATAAAAAAAATAAACAAATTGATTTCTGTATTAATGGCTATGGGTTGTGATGGGAAATAATTTTATAATACAAGAGGACTCCTAAACAAATTTTCTAGGAAACACTTCAAGCTTTTTGCCTTTAATGAATAGGATGATGTGGTTGCATAATTGCTATAACATGTATAATTCATAAGTATAGACCTTTGCAGTATAAGATAAGATGAAGATTTATCGTACTAATATACAAAGTTTAAACAAAAATTTTCGTAATTTGGTAAAGATATAAAAAGAAATAATAATAATGAACAAATTAAAAAAAAAAACAATAAAAAAAAGCAAATGAACTACAACAGACATAGGGTTAAAGCATTGATACCAATGTTTAATAATGATCAAAATATAAATTCTTCTATTTATGCCAATCTTTTGCAGAACTCAAATTAACGTATGAATCAGACTAAAGGCATATGAGAATATGAACGCATACCTGTGGGGTGGAACTGCACAAACTCCATATCTTCGTTCTGTAGACCGGCGCGTGCTGCCATAGCTGTGCCGTCACCTGTGCAAGTGTGGGCTGAAGTGCAGCTGAAGTAAGAACGGCCTGTACCCCCTGTGGCTAGGATTGTGTTCTTCGCTTGGAACCTGACCGACATAAGTTAGATACGAAAACCATGTTGGTATTATGTGCAAATTCATAATGTCTAAAATTTCTCCTTACTGATCAGGTGGCAGATAAAATTTGTCATCAAAGTTGCAAAATCCCATACATGACCAGACTGGGGTCTGGTCCATAAGCCTGCTATCCATTGTGCTCAATAGCGAGGTTTTTAATTTTTCAAAGTAGGTAACTTACAAAATGAAAACTCAGTATTAAATGCTAGCATTCAAACATTGGACCACTGATTGTATTAAACACTTTATAAACTGTACTGATACAATTAAAAATAAAACATCTGTTTTAATAGTAAAATACAGTTGTATAAACAATGCTGTAACTTAATTTGTAATAATATTTTCATTTAAGAATTTATAGAATTGGTGTAGTGTTGTCTTATACATGTAGATAACACATCACATCATATTTCTTACCTATGAAGTGTTCCATCTTCAAGATTAAGAGCAATGCATCCCTTGCAAACACCGTCTTCCATCAACAGATCCAGAGCAAAGTACTCAATGAAGTATTCACAGTCATACCTCAAGGATTGACCATATAGAGTGTGGAGAAGGGAATGTCCTGTTCTGGTAATTTAATAAAACATTTTAATTATTATCATATGAGTAAACAATTAACCTAAATACCAGAAATTTTTTACATAATAATTGCATTATTTAAAGTTTCAACAATCACAACAACAAAAATTTGTTATATTGTAATAGTACTAATGTATATTGTTTTTAATAAAATAATAGTTTAAAAAAAAACTAAAAAACATGCTTTTGTAGATAACGAAACTAAAAAGTTGATAATAAATTTCAATAAATTTAAATTATGAAGTGTGATTAAAAAAAAAATTGTCATGAGTCTGATGTGTGTGCAAAGTCTGATTAAATCTGATTGTTCAAAGCGGTGCAAAATCACGTTTAGAAATTCAAATGCATTCATACATAATACAGGTGAAACTAATATAAGCATGTTAAAAATAAAATGTTAACTCATAATATGGCATTACCTGTCAGCTACAGCACAGCACCTATGAGCCTGCCCACCTTTGCCAAACTTTAAGGATTGTCCTCCAAAGGCTCTTTGATAAATTCTACCTTCAGGTGTTCGGGAGAAAGGCATTCCATAATTATCAAGTTCAATTACAGCATGTGGTGCCTCTCTGGTCATGTAGTGAATAGCATCCTATTAACAAAATTATTCATATATCATATAAATAAGAGTATATAATGTTATCTATCTGTCCCATAAGAATGTCCTTACATATTAAGTTTTCAAACGTATTATAAAATAACAAAAAGCAAGATACATAAATAATTAGATACCTGATCTCCAAGCCAATCAGAACCTTTAACGGTATCATACATATGCCAAAGCCAGCTGTCTTCTTCCATATTTCCTAAAATGAAACATTAAATACATAAGAAGATTAACCAATCACTAAGCTATAGAAACTTTGAGATTATGAGTTTGTTCTCATATTTTTTTCAAATATTTGTTAATATTTTTATTTGATATATTGATCTTAATATATTACATTGAAATTATAATAATTCTGGAATTACCAGACTGCAACAATAGTGGCCTAAAAATATTATTAATCGAGTCAAATACTAAATATTTAAATACCTAATGCGGCATTTATTCCTCCCTGGGCAGCAACAGTGTGAGATCTAGTTGGAAATAACTTTGTTACCACAGCTGTCTTGAACCCTTCTTGCACAAGACCAAACGCTGCCCGTAAACCTGCACCACCAGCACCAATGACTAGAGCATCATGCTGATGGTCTACAACTGTGTAAGCCTTAGACAAATTAGAGTTGACAGATCCATCTTTTGCAGGCCTAGCACCTCCAACTGATAAATGGAGGTTTCTATAAAGATGAGTAGCCTGAAATAACACATTAATTTCGTGGATAATGTATAAAGAAATCAAAGCTTAATTACGTATGATGCATAGTTCTATACACTACTGAAATTAATTATTATTGAGACAGAAGATTATTTAAGACTAAGAGAGCAGAACAAGAAAATTAGATTATTGGTAAAAGTAATAAAATTAATAAGAACAATAATGGTCAAGGTTAAAACGCAAACCTGTTAAACATTAAATCAACCAATACCATGAACATATAAGGGCTATAAGAGAGAAAAATTTCACAACATTTTTGTTGACTAGAATATTGTGACACAGTTACATAACTAATTTACATTTAACAAATACTTTGATATACTAACCAATGATGCAGGGCTTCGGAAAATAGCTGCTTTCATTAATGCGCTCATGATGGAACTCACTGTCCGCACCGGAGCACAATAAAATATTAATAATTATATCACTACGAAAAGCATCCACACACCCGCTTTATCTGTATGTGACTGACAATTCCAGGGATGTGAAAAAATAATCGATTTTCATATTAATCGATTATTTTTCTTCTTATAACCGATTTTTAAAAATTAATTTAAATCGATTATATCAATTTAACTTTTTAAACGATTTTTGTTAACAGTCATCTGTATGTATGCAGGGTGATTTTTTTCGACTAAGTACATACTTTAACATTATGCTAATTGAGCATTCCATGATTAAAAAATATATTAATATTTTATTTTGACAAGAAATAACCAGAAAAATATCAATTCCAACATTGTTTGTTTATGCCGTTAAGTGGTTTTAGTGCTCGTGAATAGGTTATCGTATTTAGAGGTAAGGCAGGAATTTCTAATAGGGTGGTGTTCATAATGTTTGAAATAAATTAAAAATAATCTTTAAACAAAAAAAATTGAGGACACAAGTACGTACCAGATTTATATTTAGAATCAAATACTCCATAGGTAAAGCAGTTTCGTAACTTTTTAATAGATTTGAGTGAAATAAAATGTTAAATAAGATTGAATATTTGTGGCAAATTTATTTTAGATTTTTTTATTGTTCAAAGTTTAAAATTTAAGAAACAGGTACTTTGTATTTTTGTTATGAAATCAGAATGTTTTCGTTAAGGTTATTTTTTATACTACTCATTTTGATTTTGTTTCTGGTAAAGTGTGAACACCATACTAATCTCTTTTTTAGTTTTATTGCTATACAGGATTTTTAGAATAATAGAAAATAATCTAATTACTATTTCTTCTGATTAATTTTTTTTACAAAATCGATTAATATTTAATATTTAATAATCGATTTTTTTCTCTCAATGACACATCCGTAGACAATTCTGGAAACTGCCAAATCAAAAAAAAACTAATAGAGGGATTCTTTTAAAGTATAGATATTTCTTTCTATTGCAGAGGATAGTATCCGTGGTAACTTCGTCTTATTTTTAAGTAAAAATAAATATTTTGAGAAATAAAAAAAATGTAATAATTAATAAATTATTTTTTTTCCATAAATGTTGTATAACATTATTATTTACAATTCGATTTCATGTCATATTTTGAATTAAACACTAAATAAAGCCGAATTTTGGATACCAATACTGCTAGCGAATTTATTAATCTGCTGTTTATGTCTCACCATCCCTCCCCGCCAATCAATTGAAAGCGCTTAAAGTAATTGAAAATTTAATCATATAGATTAATTCAACAATAAATATTGCGTGACGCGCACATAATGGTAAATGGTAAATGCGGAACGATAATTCCAGCGTGACCTTAATATAAAATCTTATGTCACGACCTTAAGTCTTATATAATAGATGGTCCATAACGCAATTTAAACCACGCACACAAATATAGTCATCAAGTCGTTTAAGGTTTGGTGGTTAGGTGGTTGGTAGATAACTCGGTATCTGTCTGTAGATAACCAACGGGGTCTCTCTTCTTGGGGTCAGGCAGGTACGGATGTTGGGGATCCCCTCCGACCGGGTTCTCAACTTGTCGTGGTGGAGGGGCTTAGTATTCTTGGCTTGGTCACCCACGGGGAAGCCAAGAGGAACCCACACTGGAGTGGCCTGTGGTGTAAGGCCGGCACGAGAGTGGATGCGTGGTGGAGGTTGCAGGGGACAGGTCGTAGGTGGTAGAGGAGGGGCCACTCTCCCTGCCTTCCCTGCCTGCTACCGAGGAGGAGTCACGGAGGAAGAGGAGTGGATACGGCGGGGCTGCATCGCTGCTGCAGTGGTAGTGGGGCTGTGGGCGGAGGTTTTCGGTATTGCGGTGCGCCGTTCTTCATACCCTCCACGGCCGAAACGTGGTGAGCGGCGGAACCACAGACCATGCCCCCCCCACGGACCATGCATACATTTACCCCTTTGAATGAAACTTTAAAAATTGTAATTGATGCTTGATGAACTAAAATACATAAAATAAAATAAAGTAACATTTTGAAAACAAAATTTGCGTTAAAAATGTTTAGAAATTATTACCAATTCGATACTCCCAAGTATCAATGGTGGGTGTATTGCCACTAAAACATTGCAACTGGCGGGTGGGTTCGTTAATTGATATATTTTTTTTCCTTCTGATTTATTTATTATTTATTTACTATTATTTGATTTCAATGATTTTAGGTAACTTTTAGGTAACGTTAAACTTAGACGACAGTTTTTTTTTCTTTGTGATTCAGATGGATTGAGCAGTAATGACAGTTTTCACAGCATCCCTTCTCTAAGTGAGACTCTTGATTCTCATTTCTCAGGTACACTGAAACATTTTAATGTAATTCATATAAATGCCCAGAGTATTCCTTCACATTACCCTGACAAGTTGTCCTCATTCGATAACAAAAATATACACGCGATTTTAATTTCTGAATCTTGGTTAAAGCCTTGTTTGCCATCTACTTCTTACTTCCTTCCTGGATTTCGTTTGAGTCGCAACGATCGTGTTGGGCGCACTGGTGGTGGTGTAGCGATTTATTTGAAATCGCACATTCCTTTCACAGTTGTAAATTCCTCTCAACCATTGTCTAGTGCGGGCCCTGAACATCTTTTCATAGAAGTTATACTTGGTCTTGTAAAGATACTTCTTGGTGTCTATTACAGTCCAAATATAACTATTGATTATTTCTCATCATTTGAAATTCTATTAGAACAATACTCCTCACTTTATAGTCATATCATTATAATGGGAGATTTCAATAATTGTCTCCTTAAAAACGGCAATAGTTCATCCCGTTTGAAATCTCTCGTCAATGGCACTAACTTGCACATACTTCCTCTTTCAGCTACTCACTCATTTCCAAATTGCGCGCCTACTCTTCTGGATCTAATACTCGTTTCTTCCATTGACCATGTTGCAAAGTATGGACAATGTAATGCTTCTGCTTTCTTGTATCATGATTTAATCTACCTTTCTTATAATATAATATAATTCTTATAAAACAAAGCCCCCTAAAGCTAAGCGCAGGATCCTTCTTCAGCGCAATTTTGGTACAATGGACCTGGATCGGTTACGAGAAGATACTGCTAAAATTGACTGGTCAGTAGTTTCGAGTGCTGATACAGTTGATGAGCAGATCTATCTTTAACACCTTACTCACACAATTGTATGACATTCACGCTCCAATTCGCCCAGTTCGAATTAAGCATCTTCCCGCCCCCTGGCTTACTGTGGATATAAAGAATTTGCAAGAAAAAAGGAACTTGCCAAAACGAAATATTGTATGAATCCTAATGATTTCAATGGGGAGAAATATCATAGGGCACGAAATCGCTGCAACATGGTGTGTAGAGATAGTCAACGACGCCATATCTATAAATCTGTTATTGAAGAAAACGATTCAAGTAAAATTTGGAACTTCCTCAAATCTTGAGGAAAAGCAAAGCAAAATATAAACTCTTCTAATTTGGACTTAAATAACCTTAATAGGCATTTCCTTTCCTTTGTTACTATAGATAGTACTATGAAAAAGAACACTATTAGTCAACTTTCTGCTATATCAACTCCTGCCTATCCCTCTTTTTTCTTTAGCCAAGTTATTGTCAGTGATGTTAAAAAGAACATTTTAGCCATTACATCTGACGCAGTTGGTTCTAATTGCATTAGTCGTAAAATGATTATCACTATACTCGATCTTTTAGCTCTTATCATTACATACATTTTTAACCATTCCCTTAACTCTAGTGTTTTTCCCTCATCCTGGAAAGATGCCTAAGTAACTCCACTCCCATATCCATTCTGTCCTTTCTATCTAAAGCACTAGAGCGCCTTGTACACCAACAACTAAGTAAATTCCTACATACTAATAACCTATTAAATTCATTTCAGTCTGGCTTCCGTCCTGGTCATAGTACGACAACTGCTTTTCAGAATCACTGATGATATTCGGCTGGGTATGGATAATCAACAAGTTACAGTCTTGACATTGCTTAACTTCAGTAATGCCTTCAATACTGTAGACTTTGATGTTCTACTCGCTGTTCTCAGTTCACTTAACATATCTCCTGTGGTAATTGGTTGCTTTCGTAGTTACTTGCATGGACGCCGGCAGCGTGTACGAATTCAAGATACTTTTTATGACTGGTCTGCTGTCACGGCTGGCGTCCCGCAAGGTGGCGTGTTGTCTCCTTTATTATTCTCTACTTTCTATTCTCTACTGATGAAAATCAGTTCGATCTGTTCCCGCATTATTTCTCTCTGCCATCTATGCAGACGATTTACAAATCTACTCCCAATGTAAGATTGCGGTACTACCCAATACAATTGGCTTAGTTAATGAGGATCTTATCCGCATTTCTCATTGGTGTAACTTGTTTGGGCTTAAAGTAAATCCATCGAAGACCCAAGCCATTATTGTTGGAAGTACGAAATTAATTTCTTGTTTATCTTTGTGACAGCCAAACATATTCGAAGGAACTGTTATCCCATATAGCGACAAAGTTAAAAATTTGGGCATCATATTTGACCAAACATTATCTTGGATGCCGCAAATTAGTGAGTTAAGCAGGAAGATGTTTGCCGCAGTTGGCTCACTCCGAAGGTTGCGTAATGTCCTCCCCATTTCTACTAAAGTTGCGCTAGCTCAGTCTCTTTTTTTACCGACCCTTGACTACGCGGACACTTGTTATCTGGATCTAGCTGAGGAGCAACTAAATAAACTTGAGCGGCTTCAAAATTACTGCATAAGGTTTATATTTGGGTTGCGAAAGTATGACCACATATCCGAATTCCGCCATAAGCTCAAGTGGCTCCCGATTCGCCTTCGCAGGAATACTCATATTCTTCATCTTCTTTACTGAACTCTGTTTAATCCTACCACTCCACGTTATTTAAAGGATCGATTTATTGATATTAATGATTTACACTGTTTTTCTCTCCGTTCTCATATTTTTCTGCTTAGTACTCCTAGTCACTCCTTTTCCTTCTATGCTAATTTATTTACTGTTACTGCTATACGTCTTTGGAATTCTCTCCCCTTAGATATTAAACAATCTAAATCTCTTAACATTTTTAAAACTAAATTAAAATTTCATTACCTTTTCTCTTAATCTTCTATCTGTCGTCCATTATATATTATTTTCTGGTTATATGTATATAATATTATGTATTTATATGTATGTATTTTTCTTAATATTTATTTAGTACACCCCTGCCACTTTCTCCTTTTAATGAATTTCTCTGCCCTAAGGTTGCCTGGAAGAGATCGCTGTTTAAGCGATAAGGCCGCCTGTTGTACCTGTGTGTTTTTTTTAAATTATAAACACTGTAGTTTCTATGGTGTACAATAAAGTATATTTTACATTACTTTACTTTACATTAAAACATCTACAATATAGATCTTTAAAATACGCAACGGAACTTGATGCGGTTTTTTTACTACATAGAGTGAGTCTCTAGAATGGGTTATATGTGTAATTATTATATGGGCGGGTGCCCCGGGTGTACCCCTTCGCACGGGTGAAATTACGCTAGAATATTATTCGCACGAGTGCTATTACGCTAGTATATTGAAAATTTTTTCGAGTAAACGTCAATGTCAATATTTTGATATATCGACATTTTTATCCATTCCATCCCTAGCTAGTTGATGATCGTGATGTGATTTTTAATTTTTAATTTTAAATTGTCAAAATGAAGTTTCTTGATTATTTGTTGTATTTATTTTTGTAATTATTGAAAAAGTTAGATTGTACTTGAAAACTGGAAAAATACAGTATTTATGATGGCAGAAAATCCAGGTAGCGATGGCTTTTCGGAAGCAGATAAATTGAAAGGTAAATTTTAGGCTACGTATAGTGTCCAAATAGGTTATTTTAATGACAATTTATAATAAATTTATTTTTGTATTTTAAATTTACAGAAGAAGAGATTGATCTTAATCAAGAATTAGAACACAGCGATTCTAACGAAGACGATTCTCAAGAAATATCCCTAGAAGTTGAAGAAAACTTACTGAAAGATGAACCCGAATGTTAGTGTAACTTTTAATATATTTATTTATGTTTCATTCCAAACACTTCAAATAGGGATACGAAGGATGCCTATTGAGTACCTTAATAGATTTATTATTAAATCCTTAAGTTCTTGAACTATTATTATTCCTATTAATTGTTTTAATTTTAAATGTGTAGTATTTCATATATTTTATAATTAATTAAATCGATATCTGGTTTTTAGTTCATCCCTAGACAAATTGACAAAATTGTGATGTCACCACAGTGCACATTCAATATATACTTTTATTTTATTTGTACTGATTTTAATTTATCAAACTAGGTACCAGTTGGCATATATTAATTTTTATTATAATATATAATCAAGTAATCAATTATCGATTACTTGGTACAACTTTCCATTGACGTCCATTGAAATGAGAGGTGGGAGGGATGTGGGGGGAGGGAGAGGAGGGGTGTCTCCCCCCCCCCCCCCCCTTAAAAAGAATAGTTGCATTTATTACTATTTAATTTTGAGGAAATTTTGGTAAAATGTTCCATTAGTGCAGGGTTTTTTTCGACCAAAAAAATTTTATTCTGTAAAGAAAAATCACTAATGAAATTATCAACAAGCTGAATTATCCGGTCGCTTATAGTTTTTGAGAAAAAAGTATTAAAAACTTGTTATTTTTACTAGAAAGGATTTGTCTCATCATGATCCACCATATAAAAAAAATTCAAAAATACTAAAACTACTGTTGATGTTTGGAATGTTAAGCCTATACCCAACCATAACCCCTTAACAGTATTAGAGCGGCAGATGAAAAATTTAATTTTTTATTCATATTTTACAAAAGAAAACTAGTTTATGTATCCATAAGTATTAAATGTATTTTATGATAGAGAAGAATATGATATATTACAATTTTTATTTCTATTTTGCGAACAAAATTTTGATAACAACATAAAGTAAATTAAAATGTTTCTTATGTTTTTCAGATACAACTTTAGTCAATTATGGTGAAAGTGTCCAGGAGAGTCAAAGTGATGTTGTTGAGACATATGTAGACAATTTCAGTAATGTAGAGATATCACAAACCACTGATGAACTTGGCAATGGTATATATATTGAGAGCTCTAATAACTTGATGAGTTCACAATCTGATTCATTGAATGATATTACAGACCAGTATGAACCTTATGTTAATGAATATAACTTTGAGACACAGGAGTCTACCAGTGATAAGCAATATGATAATGTTAATGAACAGTTCGAAGATACTGGGGCTAATAGAGATAGTATTATAATTCCAAATATGAATGACTTTCAGCAAACTGAAAATAATTTTGACAACCAAATGTCAGAAGAATATTTAATGAATGAAAGGGAAAGAGAGAAGAAAAGTAAAAAAGAATTAGAGGAAGAAGAACGAGAGAAAATGCAGTATGTATAAAGGTTCCATTGTATTGTACATACTGATACAATTCTGGATATTCCTTGAATAAGTACATTAAATTGTCTAGCTCATAAAATGATATATTTTCAAACTAACAATAAGTTAGTTATTTTCTTAGTGAATCTTTCACCAGTATACATCTTCTTAATAATTCACTTTTATTACCACTACAATATTTACACCCAGTACAAAATTTGTTAATATTAATTGTTTACAAAAAATTATACTAATGTCATAAAGTCCACATAGGTTATGCGCAAGAAATTATTTAGTATTATTATTATAATCCTGCTGCTTTATTACCTTACACTTACCCTTGACACAATTTACTTGTTGATAATGAATGTTGTTCAACTGCCCTGATGTATACGTAATGTGATATGGTTGCCAAATTGGCGAGTAGTAAATAATACCGTTTAAGTAAATATGCTGTTAATAACACTGTTGAGAGTATTGTAATGCATATTTATTTATTAAAGATCTTAGTTTTCAATTTGCTTTTAACTACTCAAGGGTTTAGTACAGAAGACAGGTACAGTGAGTAAGTACAGTGTAAAACGTCGGAGAGACAATGCAACTTGGTTTGCAAGCTGCCTTGCAACTTGACCGAAAATAGGATCGCTTTCTATTTTTGGTGGAATTAACAATGTTTGCATAAAGCGATGTTGCACCCTTCGTGCGCCCGCTTAAACCTCGCAGGGCACTTAACTCGTCACTTTTAGTAGAGTGAACAGTGCAATTAGTACAGTGGCCGACAGGCAACAAAATTGCACATAATGTTGTCCGTTTCGCCGCTGTATTTTAACTTACCTTTGGACCTCACTGATTATGTGAATATTGTGATGTACTTATATAGAGAAAAAGCAATGGTTAATGTAAGTCTTACCAGATAAACATTTTGTCATTACAAGTTTATACCTTTGTTTTAGGGTTTTGGTCTCAAACTTCACTGAAGAGCAATTGGATAGATATGAAATGTATAGACGAGCAGCATTTCCAAAAGCAGCTGTTAAACGTTTGATGCAAACTATTACTGGATGTTCTGTTGGACAAAATGTAGTGATTGCAATGTCTGGTATTGCAAAAGTCTTTGTTGGAGAGGTTGTTGAAGAAGGTAAGTGCACTATTTTTATTGAGGGTATATTTGGGTGTCAGATATGCAATATTTATTTCGCGGCTTAAACTCCCTCTATCTATTATTTCCAAGCTTTTACTGTACTAGTAATACAAAACTTTCTTTATAGCACTCGAAGTCCTCGAAAAGTCTGGTGAGCCTGGGCCATTGCAGCCAAAACATTTGAGAGAGGCGTTACGTAGATTGAGAATGAGAGGTGCCATACCATCAAGGAAAGCTCACAGGAGCATGTTTCGGCTTTAACATTTTAATTACATCATTTACTTCTTATTATATAATATTAATTGAATAATGCCAATTATTTATACATGTAAATAAATAACATACATACAAGAATGAAAAGTTTATGTAAAAACTTGTGAAGTTTGCATTGATTTGGAAATTACCGAAATATTTTTAATTTAATTATCTTTGTATATTATTACTAATTAACTTTGTATATAACAGTTTTCGTTCATATAGTCGCACGGATTGTTTGATTGTGTATCAATGTTTATAATATATCAATACATATTGATTAGGTACAAAACATTGATAGTAAATCTATGCGGTTATTTGACAGATATTTTTTAATCCGTAGTATGTTTTTTTGTTATTGAAAATAATTAAATAAAATCGGCACCTTTAAATATTATAAATAGTAGATACGTAGATCTCAAGTTCCTATGAAATCTTCTGTTCGGACTTGGTTTGGGCATGCTCCCATAAAATATTTTCTCTTTATTTATCTGAAATGAAGCTTCGAATTGTTTGTCTAATACAACCACACCACACGGGTCTTCTACATGGCCTTGGAGGGCCTGCAGGTACGGGTGTCGAGTTTTTAACCTCATGACCCGGGCTTCGTCGCGGGGACCACACTGGACTCCCGGTATTTGACGCCTAAAGGCGTGACAGTATTAAGTGCGTCTTGAGCGAGGCACCTGTGTAAATATAATTCAATGCTCGCTATAATGGTTAGCGAGCATTGCGGTAAAGGCGCGCGTAACCGCGCTCCCTGGTGTTGAACCTCTCGCCATGTCGCTGAGGATGTCTGCTAAAGCTTCTGATAGGGCGCGGATTAAACTCCGCAGCAATTCGGCGAATTCTTCTGCTGTGTTGGCTTCAATTGTGTTTTGGTTTCCTTGGGAGCGTAGGGGGCGGCGCGTTAGTGGCGGCTCTGCTCTCTGCGTCTCTGCGAATTGTAGTCTTCTTGTATCGCTAACTTGCGGTAAGTGGTTTCTCGAGCGGGGGAGGGGGGGGGGGGGGGGCGCTGTGGTAGTGCCGTCTCCGTTTCCGTAGTAGTGGCCTGGTCGCGATCGCGATAATCGTAATTCGTCGGTAATCTATTTTCTTGCGAGGATGTCGCGGGAGCGGTGCGCCCGCGGCGACTACGACGGTGGCTTCTAATATTACTCGTAGCTGAGTTTGCCGGTGGTTGCAGTGTTGTAACAGTAGTAGTAGTTGATGATCTTGATGTAGCAGCGGCGGGGGCAGAGTAACCCGCGGTCGATGTGGGTGGTCTATATATATCCTCCCGAGTGGTTCGTTCCCCGGGGGGGTGTTGAAATGCGGTTTCCATAGTTTGCGTCCGTTCTATGTCAGACTGCAGGGGGACGTCTGAGGTAGGGGGGGGGGCACTGTTTCCTCCCCCCTTACCCTCCGGCGACGTTCGCCGATAGTTATCCATCCATCATTGTTTCTTGTTGTTTCCGGGCGCGGCGGGTTTAATTTAATTCCCCTTTTTCTTGCCTCCCGTATGAAGGCAGGGCATCGACGATCGTTGGCGGGGTGTCTTTGTCCGCAGTTTGCGCATTTGGCCGGCGTTATTAGGGGCACAGGGCAACTTGCGGCTAAATGGTTTCCTGCGCATCTTACGCACACAATTGGCCTATGACAATTGTACGAAGCATGACCAAACTGTTGGCACCGGTGGCATTGCGCGGGGCCGGCTCTGCCTTTCCAGCCCTCGATGGAAACTCCCGGCATATTGAGCAGCTCGCTCACTCCGTATAATCTTGCGGCTTCATAATTGTTTAGGCGCTCTATTTGTGTAAAGAATATACACCTATTTCTACTTCTGATAGGCGGGATGAGCTTGGTATAGGTAGCTGGGAAGCCTAATTGACGAAGGGCTTCTGTGATTTCCTCGGGAGGCGTAGTTTCAGGCAGCCCTCTTATTCCCACCTTAGTGGGTAGTTGTTCAGCGGGTGCGTAACAGTGCCATGTGATGGCACTGTTTATTTCGGTGGCTTCAATCAAGTGTCTTTGAATGATTCTATATTCCTGAGCGGACTGGGGGAGAAATCGGATGCCTTTCCCGCGCGCTCTTGCGTTGGGGGCGTGCCCGAGCTTTCTTTTAATCTCGGCGAAGTGCGCTGCCCAATCGGGCAGGTTCTCCACTACGTTTGGTGGGTAGCCTTTTTTAGTGGTTTCTTGTGCTGCGGCGCTTGTTGGTTCCATTGTAGGTTGCGCTGACGTGGATGCAATGGGTGTTGGTGAGGTTGCCTTGGCTATGGTTGCATATGACGTGCTTTGCGTCATATTTTGTGGTATGTCCAAGGGAGCTTCGTTGCGTTTCGGGGAACTATGCACCGAATCATAGGATGGCGAACGGGGTGGCTGCGAGTGTCTTGTATATGTGGCTGCAATTGTATTTGGGTCGTCTTCTTCGGCTGGCGATTCGACACATTGTCGCTTCTCATAGAGCGACGCCTCTGTCTCTGGCGGCGTATGTCGCCTGCGGGTTTTGCGGCGGTGGTACGTCTTAGCCGGGGTGGATGCATACATAGACGCACCACCGTCAGCCTTGACTCCCGCCACCTCCGTTATACTCGCGGCGCTCCGGCGGTATTCCTCCTCACTGGTCGATAGGTCTTCATCGATCGGCTGGCTTCTCTGCGGTTGCGGGCGCAACTTCTCCCTCGGGAGCTTAACTTCCTCGGCGATCGGTTGGTCCACTACTGCAGGTGGACGGGTCCTCCTGCGAGGCTTGGGGGGCATATGCCCTCCATCCTTTGCGGCTCCGTCGTGTCCCGTTGTTGCGGGTGAGATCAGTCCCCAGGCGAGCAATGATCCTTACTCCCTTCGGCGCGGGCCACTTAGCCAGGTGAGACCCCTAGGGGAGGCCCAGCGAGCAGGGAGGGGTATCAAGGCCACAGTGTATAGAGGTGATCGTCGCGCTTCCTAACTTTTCTAACGAAAGGGGAGACGCAGTGCTGGTCGCACACGTAGTCTCGCTGTCGCGGGGGATGCGTGGTCTTGGCGAGGCGTGTACGGCGCACACGTCCCGGACAAGGTGGCCTAGGCTGCTCGACGCTTCACGGAGTTAGTACCTCGACGTTAGGCGGAGTGGCTTCGGCGGACTTCGGCTAGATGGCTTCAATCACACACGATGTCGCGGAACGGGCGCATTGTTTGTCTAATATATGTTGATCTATGGTAGTTCTCAAACTAACTTTACTTTAAGGAAGGAATGTTTTGAATTAATATTTAAAAATCTGTATTTTTATCTTTGATATCGTAATTAGCCTGTTAGTTATAAGTCCGTGTTCATATATCGAATTCCGAATTTGTACTCAATTATAATGTTAAATATACAGCGTGTCGTTACCATCGCGACAATGAATGAACACACGTCTAACGCTACTTGCCAATAATCATAAAAAAATATTAATTTTTAAAAAAATCCATAAAAACATTTTCAAACTAAGTAAAAAAGAAACAAAATTTGTGACACCTATACAACTACAACTGACTGATTCATACATTCAGTCTTTTTCATTTGTTGCCACGGCGTCGCATTACAAGCCTCTCCTTCTAACAGTATGTATTATCTCTTAAATTCATTCAACCCATTCATATGCTTTGTGACCTTTACAAATGAACTATACGTTACAGTTTTGTATGTAAGGGTGTTCTGAAATTCTTTGTTTTGAAAAATTTAACGACTGTAAATATTGATGTTTAAAGAATGTAAATTTTTGATACAATTTAAAAAAGTTATCCTCTATATATGCGTTCATTTATTGTCGCGTTGGTAACGACACGCTGTATACATAATAATCGAGTACAAATTCAGCATTATAATTTTTACTAAAATGTTGCTACATAATATAATTTCAATTTATTAATAGGACATTTCAATGACATGCTCATACTCATTTCTTATTTTCTAGTAGTTTTACTAATTTATTGAATTGAAAAAATATATTTTACTAAGTTTGTATTGATACAAAGGTAAATAAAACAATACTATTTTAAAAATGTTTGGAGATTTATTTATTATCTTTAAACAATTATAGTAATGTTAATTTATTACACTAATCAGTAATTTTTATTTAAACTATGTTTACATAGTGACAGTTAAGTGTTCCCAAAAAGAATCAGTCTTGTTAAAATGGCTAATTATTTGTAGACAAGAAATTTTCAATCGGGAGTTTTTAAAAAGAGGTATTATTAAAATTATAAATTAAAAACAATATCTTTTTTAACAAGATTAAAACAAAAAATAAAAATATAAATACACAAAATTCCATTCAAAACCAAATGATTGGCACTTAATAATAGTTAGGTGTTGTTTAAATTTCTAAAACAATATTTGAATAAGTTAAAGACCAAAAAGACCATATATCACAGTTGCTTAACTTTTAAAATGCTGCCGAGAAAAAACGGCTGTTAACGTCAATAAAAATAAAAGAAAATGTTTATTGGGTTATTAATAACTCATCTATAGGGAAGGCACAAACTATATGGTACACCATATAATGCAATTACATGTATATTGTAAAATAGTAAGACACGATACTAAAAATAACTTAGTATACTGCAGCACATTTTGAATGTATATAAATTTAACCATTGGGTCTAATTTATATTGTTAATATAATTGTTTTACATTGATAATTTGATATCTTTAAAGTTACGTATTAATTATAATCGTGTGACCAGGTTTCAGCGACACATATACCAAATTGTGTAAACTTTGCTACAATAGGTTTCTACCTCAATCATTAAAAGGTTATTATTCAGATGAATCTTCATAACCCAGGCACTAAATTTTATCTTATACCATTTTTGGATTGAAATAAATACACGCACATTTATCATTCGCTTTTGAACCACTCACTTGAGGCAAATGTGTTCGGAACGACAATGGATTAACGTGAGGCCGTCAGATGACGTCACGCGTTGCTAACCGGCGCGTCGCGGCTTGCGTAGCAGCGTAAAGGGCCCGTAGCGGACTAGAAAACGCCCCCTGACGTCACGCTACACAACGAGCCTCTTGACGCCGCACTCGATGCAGAACTTGGCGGTGTCGACGCGGAACCGGTTGCCGCACTCGTGGCAGAAGCGGGAGGGGCGCGGAGGGGGCGCGGCCTCCTTCGCCCTGGGCAGCGACGTATCGGAGCCGCTCGAGCTGAGCTCCTGGCGGGAGCGCCAGAGCGGGCTGCGCTGTGACGACGCCCGCGAGGCTGCGCGCTTCTCTGTATTGGCGACATGTAAAAAAACAGCGTATCGTTTGCCTCCCTTTCCATAAAAAAAATAAATTAAAAAAAAGTATCTTATGACACGTCAAAAGTTATGAACTCTAGAGTAACAAAAGAAAAACATGTTAAAAAATTTATCCCGTGTGCCAGTAATCTTTGTTTGTGAAATAAAGATATTAAATGCAATTTACAATGGTTTAATTAAAGGATTTGGAATTATAGGTAAATACCAAAAAGTTGTTATTGGTGCCACGACTTTGTTGCACATGATACAAATTAACCCTTACCATTTTTTTTCCAAACGCTCCAGAAGAGGAATATACTTACAGGGAGACTTTTTGAGAAGTGCCCAAATTTACACAGGAGGTTCAGATTCGGTAGTATAATCGTTTATTGAAATTTAAAAAAAATCCAAAAAAAAAGCCATTCTATACCCTAAAAACAGAATATGTTGACAATGCGGTACTCATTCATAAATACCTAAATTTTACAGTGCACGAACTTGTGTGCGTGTTAGTTATGAATGATCGCGCGTAAAATAAATGAGTTGCGTATAACTCACGCACTTTTTGATATAAGTTTAAATGAATGTTATTAATTACTTACGAGTGATTTTAAAATATTTATCATTTTTTATATGTATAACATTATTGATGTCTAGACTTTAATTAAAAAAAATGGATACACTTAGAAAAGCCTCCCTGTATAAGTATATACAAAACATATAGATTGTAATTATGAGTCTACCAGACAAAGCGGTCGTCTTGTTACTGATGGTGTCCTGACTAGGGTTGCCAACTGTGAGAAAAATAAAGTATCACATTTTTCAAGTAGAGAAAAAATAAAGTATTTTTCAAAGTGTTATTTATTTCTCCTCTTTAAGATGTATCTTTGTATGCTTCTAGCACACACTCACAGTTTTTTCACTATACTTAATTTTTGGAAGCTATCTTTAAATTCTCAATTTAAATTTGAATAAAAAAAGGAACATTTTATTAAAATGAAAATCTGGGAAAACACATATTACCATAAATATAGTAAGACACGTTGTTATATAGTATGGTTGGCAACCATACCTGACATTGACTGTGGGTCAATGTCAGGAGGTAGGGATGCCAACTGACATAATCGCTTGTTTTCTTTTTATTTAATCAATTTATTTTCAACAATAATAATTATGGTGATACAAATGATCAAATACATCTTAGTTAGGTACCAGTTCCATCTATTGTTCTATATGTTTATCGCGTTATAGGTATTTAACGCGATAAACATTAATTTAATAACAAAGAAGAAAAGAATATTGTCATGTTGCAATTATAGACATATCGGTACTAGTATGCGTGGTGCCTTGACGTCAAGATTTTTAAAATACATCGAGAAAACAACATACTCAATAATTATAATAATGATACCTATTTTATCTAAACTTCATTACCTATTCGAAAATAAATCCTAATTGAATCCTTACCATTAATAGTATGACTGCTTAAATCTTTGTATTGTGCGTCGACTCTTGGCAGTGGCTCATTCAGTTCGGCGGAGCGCTCCATTGCCAGAAACTCTTCGCTGGAGATGGATCTGACCTCATCTTTCTGACTTCCCCCCATAGAATCTGAGCCGGTTTGAGGTTGCTCTAGTTGCGCCGAATCGTTCTGATCTTTGGAGTTACACAGTGATAACTTTGAAGGGGATATCCTGTTTAAGCTGCAATAACGAATGAAAAAATCAACAAAACGCTTTAAATGACATTAAAATAAACACTGGTAGCCACTTTACACTAAAGAGTACAGATGTTTATTACTTATTAGTGATTGACAAATACCTAACATTATTTATTTTGTCTTATCTGTACCTAATTAAATTTTAAAAACATTTGTTCTGTTATTCTTTATAAATTATTACCTGACTAACCTGCTATAGGCTGAATCATTGCTCGGTTTCCCGCTGGGCGAGAAATGACCATTGGACATTTTTGCGTTCTTGTTATTTCTCCTCTCGGTCTTCGTTCCGGGTTCCTTTTTCGTCGTATTATAAGCATTTTTGGAACAATTTACGAATTCTTTACTAGAATGGTGGTTCTCTATCCTTTCGGACTCGTAAAATTTGTCGAAGTCCTTGAGAGATTGCATTATATCCTGTTCCAATTGATCGGCTTTATGTCGACTCTTCGATGTGTCCGTTTTCAGTGTGTTTTTCTTCTGAATGGAGTCAAGGAGGGATGTGGAACGTTTAACGGAGGATGGGAAAAGGTTTTCGCCTTTAACATTGTTATTGCTAAAAACAAGAGACATTGATTTGTTAACTGGCAACATACCATTATTTAAAGCTTTTGGAAGAATGCTATCATCGCTAACATCAGGCGCTTTGAGCGTATCAAACACTTTAGACTGCTTAACTATTCTAGTTGTTGAGCTGTATGTTCGTTTATTCTCGAGTTTTTGTTTATTTACTTCCTCATCAAAAGTAGTCATAAATTCCTCGAGATCGAAATCTTCGCAGAGGGATTCGTCGTCCCTAACGGAGGTTTTTGACGTTATACTTTGTTCTAATGACGACATGAATTTGTCGTACTGCGAATTTAATTCGTTCATAGAAGCTGTATTGGTTTTATATGAACTATTGTTATTGGATAAAGAAATTGTTTGCTCTAAAGCGTTTTTGTTATTTTTGTTATTAACGCTGAATGATTCGAATTTCGCCGGGAGATTTTCTGTGGTAAGTAACGAGTCCATACTGCTAATTAGATCAGGGTTGTTTAGAATAGTGCTAACGTTGATCGGTAGGTTGTCATTTTCATTAATTAACCTAGGATCTATGTAGTTACTGTCAGTCATGGACGCGTTATCAAATGAGAGAATAGAATCAAGGTTGACGAAATCTTTTTTATCATTGTCATTTTTAATCTTATCAAGTTTGACAGGTTGTTTTATCGTCGTGCGTTGGAAGCTATGATACATTGATGGAGCTATTTTTGGAATTTTATCTTTTAATTTTGGTGTGCTGTAATTGGAAGAATAATTGGAAAAAGATCTATTTAAATTACTGTTACGGTTAAAAGTGGATTTGTCGGTTGAACTTATGTTTTCCTTGCTCGATTTTGTAAACGTCGTGTTCAATTTTTGACTACATTTCTTATCGTTTCTATTCATTCTAAACGAACTACATCTACCGCCAAAGGAACTTTTGTTATCGGTAGTAGTACTGCCAAAAGATTTCATTCTTTGTAAAGTCGGTGTTTTTTGGTAAGTTTTATTTAATGTATCTTTCATAATTTTTGTATTGTTTGTAAGGCGAGGGGGTGACGTCTTATCTTTATTTGGGCGGAGAGTAGGAAGAGTTCTGTTCAATTCTTTGGGAGGGGATTGAAGTTTTTTAGGAATATTAGTGTCGGAGGACATAAGCTCCTTCATTTGCCTGGCGGCGGAAACGAAAGGGTCGTAATTGTCGTCAAGCCTGCAAATTTAACAAAAAGAATAAAATACAAATTAACATCCCAAAACTTACCAACTTACCCAGATCAATTACTATAATAAGTATTAATGAAATCTATTTAAGGGAATAGAAACTACTAAAACAGTAAAATTAGCGATAGTTAGAGATATAAGACAGAACAGTTGAAAAAAAAAACTGTTTTGTCTTATATGTACAATTTGATGAATTTTACTCATCATTTTATTAAATAGATGAATATGTTGTGTCGAAAGCACTTATAGGATTAAATAGAGTAACAGGACAACCTTTTAATTTCAATTCTTGGGAGTTTTAAAGGAGGCGCTTCTGAGGAAATCGAGTGTCCATCACTATTGTCACCTTGATTATCGCTAACAATAAACGTTTTGTATTCAATGTTATTTCGATTTTGTTTATCAAAGGCATCATATTTTTTATTGCCTTTAGAAGCTTTTGGTTTATTCCATAAACATTGTTCTTTTTTCGTCATGCTGTTTGTTTCCGATATTGAAGGTAATTTCAATTCAAGAGAAACACTTTCTTGATACCTATTTTTAGAAGGTTCGTTATTTTCATAAAATTTTAATCCGAATACGGTAATGTGCTCCATATCATGGACATTCCTTTGTGTATTGTCATTTATGATATTCATATCGTTTGTTTCGCTTAATAGTTCTTTGAGGTTACTTTTTAATTCCTCTAACGTATCTGAAAATTTATGTTTTGTTGAAACTGGAGGCGCGGGGTTAGGTTCGTTCTTGCTTAAAGCTTCTATTGATATAGAATTTGGTGTATGTAATTCATCAATATCCTCATCATCTTTTCGTTCTTCGTCTTTACTACTTATTATCTTATCGGTTAAATTATAAAACTCTTCCAAATCAGTAGGATCTTCGGAAAACTTTGTGTAAGTCTCACTACTGCCATGGCGGCTAATGTCCTTATTCGTTTGTCCATGATTGTTATTCTCAACTGAATCGTTGGACATCTCTGCACTTATATCGTGTTCGTAATTATCGTCGAAATCTTCGGCGGAAAGGTTATTTAAATCTGCGGACTTTTCGTCTAAAGATTTAGCAGGCAAATTTTGGCTATAAGATTGAGGATCTACCATGTTATCGTCGTTGGTAGAATTTGTTTCACTTGTATATGTTAGTTTATTTTCTAATTCGCTACCTAAATCGATTTCGAAATTCGACGTGGAGTCTCTATTACAACGTGTAACCATGTCATTGTGCTTTATTTGTGTTGCAATTATTTCTATTGGCTGCATATCACAAGTAATATTTACATTAGGGTTTTTATACAATAGTTCAACAACAGGTGCAGTATGGGGTTGGCCTGAGTCATTGGTGGTCTTTAATTCCCTTATGTTAGGCTTCATTTTTGAGTGATCTGTTCTTTTTTGTTCGGGACACGCATAAATTTTACACGGGACGCTAGGGCAAAGAAGTTCAGTGTTTATTCCAGCCGATTGGCAGTGTTTTTCATTATTCAAATGAAGTTGGACATCATCAAGGCTATCTAGACTTATGGTGCTTTGTTTAATTGAAATAATTTTCGCATTATTCTTAACCTGTTTTGGTTTTGAGCGATTCTTATTTTGATGTGCCACTGTTGATTCGGGTACTTTATTTTTATTTTGGCCCAACAATGCCTTTCCTTTTACATCTTCCTTAACATTCTGCACTTTTCCTGAATTTTCCACAGTATTCAATTTATCTTTTTTACGTGCTACTGCTTTTTTACGGACGGGGATGTGACTTTTGCCTTCATCATTATTATCATTATTTTTAAGCTTCTCCTTTTCGATTTTTTGATTATATTTATTAGCGATTTCATCAAGTTTCTTCAGTTGCTGTTGTCTCTTAATGCTCACTCTGTTTTTAATTTTATTTGAAGGAACTTGTTTGGGTATGTTGGGATCGGTACTACTTTGTTGGATGGGTGAAAATTTGAAGTCTCGGGTTTGTCTATGGAAAAGGAAAGGAAGGGGTTCAGAATCGGAAGTAATTTGAATAACAAACAAGGAGACAGGAACAGTTGCAACACTATTCAATCGTTTAATAAATCGTAATAAAAATAGAAATCTAATTCCTTCCTTTCCCCTTATTTGCAATAACTATTTATATTGGACTAAAATTAAAATGAAGATATTGGATGGTCCTGAATCAGGCATCTAATGAGCAGTTCCTTGACAATAGACTGATGATGCTAGATTGCAGTGAATTCGTTATGAATTTTGTTACTTACCTTGTATTGCTTATGTCTCTAGCAAGCCGAGCTTGACGCGCCTTAACGTTGGCGTCGCCTGAATTGTTTTGCGATGTCCTAGAGTTCCTGATAACGGGGACGTGTGGCGCTGTATCATCGTAGCAGTCGTTACTCGACAAAGATTCTGTAAACATAATGCTTAATTTTATTTCACGTCATTAGAACTCAGAGATATTTATTTACTTAAGCGTGCCGTTTATAAATATCTTACTCATATTTGTTACGCTGATTTCATTGTATATATATATAACGATTGCTTTAAACTTATCAGGAAAACTGATAATAGAAAGTTTATTAAACTATAAGAGTAATGTACTTCGCTAAAGTATAACGTTACTTTTTAGTTTTACCATTTAGGAAAGCGATAATTTGATCTAAACATTTAAGAGGTTAGTAAAATGTAACAATTATTATTATTAGCGAGTTTTCTATTTTGAAAGAATTATGTCCTCAGCTTGGGGTCGACGATAAGAGGGCTGGTTGTGTCTCGCTCAAACGTTAAGTACAATTATTCAGCTAGCAAATGCAGGTAGAGTTTATGACCCTTGGTTTGTTTTACAATGTGATTTAGGTAGTATTTGTGGATTATAATGTAGTGAATTTTATTAATTTTGTATAGTGCTAATCTTTACACTTAGATGAAACATTACATATTTAAATGTAAATTTCATATATATTTTGTAAAATTGGACGAAAAACTTTTTTTTGCTAGAAACTGCTTTTCGTACATTTTTTCCACAATTTTAATCTATAGGAAAGATAAAAAGCTCAGGGTAGCTGTTAAACTGACCTGACGCACGCGGTCTCCCTTTGCCGTCACCCGCCTCCCTTGGCGGCGGGGGCGATACACCACGCGAGGAGTCCACTGACGTGGAGCGACTGTTCGACGCTTTCTCGCGGCTCTGTGAAGATCTGGAATTTATTTAAGTAAATTAGTTTGGGACGACCCGCCACTAGATGGGGTGACATCCTGTGCAAGTGTGCGGGAAGTCGATGGATGCTGGTCGCTCAGGATAGTGCTTGGTGGCAGTCTGTGTGAGGGCTTTGTTCAGCAGTGGACTCAAACGGGGTGAAATGAAATGATGATGATGAAATTAAACGACTTCTGTGGAACTTTGTAAAGGGATGCGGGGAGATAAAAAATGACAAGGGAAAATTCACGATGGTGTCGGTGTAATGGTTTATATCTATTTCGCATTAAATCGAAATGTTCTTTTTGCTATCAAGTACCATATTATATTAACAGCTTAGTCTACTTTCTGTAAATAAAATTTCGACATTCGTTTTTAATAATTTTATCAATTAAATGTTTAAAAGATAAGGTACATTCTCGTCATCATAAAATTTTGTTGACATTACTCTTTTCTAACTTTGAAAAAGTAACGTAAACTTTAAAACACAAACAATAATTACAGAAGAGAAACTAAATGGGACAAGGACACTGAGTAAGTCAGACATTGCCAGGAATGCTCGGTTCTCCTGCAGAACACGAGGTATTTACTATAGTCCTTTACATGTAACCTATACATGTCTCAGTGCAAAAACTGCGGGCAAAGGCTTTCTCTATACAGAGTGTATTAGCGTATAGTCCACCACGCGGCCCTATTGCGGACTGGAGGACTTCACATGATTTCGAAATATTTTTTTAAAACATGCAGGTATCCTTACGATGTTTTCCTATGCCGCCGTGCACGTGATAAACCAACTCTACAATAAAATAATCAACCAAAAGTTTACAATTTCATTGGTGCCGTCACCAGGTATCGAATTAAAAGCGAGCGCCCGGACAATTGAGCTCACGGTGCGCTTTATTCGGTGGCTTCATAGTGCAATGTGTGCTTTCTTCGTTTGCTTCAAGAGTGTAATGTGTGCTTTATTCTTCGGCTTCATAGTGGAATGTGTGCTTAGTTCGTTTGCTTCAAGAGTGTAATGTGTGCTTTGTTCGTCGGCTTCACAGTGGAATGTGTATTTGTTCGTGCGCTTCAATAGTGGAATTTGTGCTTCGTTCGTTTGCTTCAAGAGTGGAATGTGCGCTTTGTTCGTTGGCTTCAGAGTAGAATGTGTGCTTTGTTCGTTTGCTTCAATAGTGGAATTTGTGCTTCGTTCGTTTGCTTCAAGAGTGGAATGTGCGCTTTGTTCGTTGGCTTCAGAGTAGAATGTGTGCTTTGTTCGTTTGCTTCAAGAGTGTAATGTGTGCTTTATTCGGTGGCTTCATAGTGGAATGTGTGTTTGTTCGTTTGCTTCAATAGTGGAATTTGTGCTTCGTTCGTTTGCTTCAAGAGTGGAATGTGCGCTTTGTTCGTTGGCTTCAGAGTAGAATGTGTGCTTTGTTCGTTTGCTTCAAGAGTGTAATGTGTGCTTTATTCGGTGGCTTCATAGTGGAATGTGTGTTTGTTCGTTTGCTTCAAGAGTGTAATGTGTGCTTTTTCGTCGGCTTCACAGTGGAATGTGTATTTGTTCGTGCGCTTCAACAGTGGAATTTGTGCTTTGTTCGTTTACTTCAAGAGTGGAATGTGTGCTTTGTTCGTTGGCTTCAGAGTGGAATGTGTGCTTTGTTCGTTTGCTTCAAGAGTGTAATGTGTGCTTTATTCGGTGGCTTCATAGTGCAATGTGTGCTTTCTTCGTTTGCTTCAAGAGTGTAATGTGTGCTTTATTCTTCGGCTTCATAGTGGAATGTGTGCTTAGTTCGTTTGCTTCAAGAGTGTAATGTGTGCTTTGTTCGTCGGCTTCACAGTGGAATGTGTATTTGTTCGTGCGCTTCAAGAGTGAAATGTGTGCATTGTTCGTTCGCTTCAAGAGTGGAACGTGCATTCGTTTGTTTGAAGAGCGGCGTGAGTCCTTACCTGCGCGCGCGCGCCAATGGCGCCTTGTACTGCGTGCGCGCGTTGAGCCGCTGCTTGGCATCCGCGATGTGGGGCGGCGGCTGTGCGGCCGCGGCGGCCGGCAATATCTTCGCCTTGTCCGCGCACCACTCCACGTGGCGCTCGAACGCGCGGACGCCAAAAGCGCGCGCGCAATGCGGACACTTCTGCAGCTCCGCCATTGGCTGGGGGCCGTTTTTTTTTAAACTAATGTTACGCTTTCAGTGCTAAGACTATTAAAGCTTCATCGAAAGCAGAACCGGGCTAGCCAGAACCCACGGGCTTGAGGCCCTCCTCAGTGGGTAGGGCCGCGCATGAGCTCATGCGTGCTTTAGTTGTGACATGTCGCCTACGGGCCATTGAGATTCGGTGAGGACCGTGACCCCGATGGCCATTGACTGTGCTTGTTTAAAGCCAATGATGTTTAACAAAGATGACGCGTGTCCATAATGCGCGGCGTTTAAAAATTGTTCCGCTTCACATTATGTGACGTATGTGAGTATGAGACAGTTGATATAAAACGTTTGTTGCGCCAATTGGCGTAATTTGAGTGCCTCGGTTTCGGTGCGCTAGTGTGACATCTATCACGTATTTGTGTATAATATTATTACCGCTAACCCATAGTAAATATTTTTTTTCACCAGTGGCCGAAAGTTTTAAATACTTTAAACATAGATTTTTATGTTTTTAAAAATCTATGTTTAAATGACCATATATGACCGATGACTCCGTGGCGCATTTGCCAAGGTATTGGCTTTGGCGTCGGGGGTCGTGGGTTCGATTCCCACACGGGACAATTATTTGTGCGACCCACAGATATTTGTTTCGCAGCTGGTTGTTTGTCCACGTGAAATTTATGTTTGTAAAACGTCCTTACAACACAGGATAATGTTATCCTAAAGTGAGGGCAATGTTTTTTAAGGAAAAAAAAATATATATATGTAGACTATTTGTGTATTATGGTTAGCTCAGTTGGTAAAGAAGATTGGGAAACAAGAAGAGGTAGGATCGAATCCGAAAGTTAATACCGTTTTTTCATTACTTTTTCTACACTGTATTTTAGCAATTGACGACATGATGAAGAGAATAGTATGAAACTTTACTTTGCATGGAAAAAAATCTCTATATCATATGGACGTAAGAACCGTAAAGCAACTATGCGTACAACTTCTTTCGCTATATTTCTTTTTACTTGTTACTAAATAAAACAAGTTAATATAACTTCACGGTATTTTTGTGAGTATTCTGTAATGTAACGTCTCATTACAAAAACTGGTTGCTCACGCTACAAGCGACAAAAAAAGATGTAATAAGCCTACAACTCGCCAGCTATGAACATAATTTGAATACAGCCGACATTTCCTATTTCGTAAGAAAGGGGCAATGGCCTCTTTATCAGTGTAATTAGGTTCTCGTTTCGCACTGAAGCGAACAGCTTATTTTAGCAACTGAAAGCTCGTGCAGCAAATAAGTAGACAGGTCGGTGTAGATTAACATTAAAATTGTCCACGAAACAATAACAGGTTGTACTCGTTAGCGCGGAACAAAGACATCGAAGCAATCTGCATCATCTTTGTTTAGTCATAGAGTCACGTCCATACTAATTACTCAACCGCATTGGATATACAGCGTTTCGTTACCACCGCGTTAACTTTTTAAAATTGTATTAAACATTTACATTCTTTAAACATCAATATTTACAGAGTTATTAAATTTTCCAAAACAAACAATTTTAGAACACCCTTACGTATAAAACTGTAACGTAAAGTTCATTTGTAAAGGTCACAAAGCATATGAATGGGTTAAATGAATTCAAAAGAGACAAAACAAACTGTTAGAAGGAGAGGCTTGTAATGCGACGCTGCGGCGCGAGTTGTATAGGTGTTACAAATTTTGTTTCTTTTTTACTTAATTAGTTTGTTTGAAAAATATTTCTTTTTAATTATGGATTTTGTTTAACGTTAATATTTTTTTATGGTTATTGGCAAGTAGCGTTAGACGTGTGTTCATTTATTGTCGCGATGGTAACGACACGCTGTATATCCAACGGTGGTAGAGCCACGCAGCAGCCTCGGCTGTTGCACAAATGGGCAGGCTCGTCCGGGTAAGTACCACGACCTCACAGAAGATCGGCGTAAAGTGGAAGTATGACAAATACTTTTGCGTTTCGTCTGGTGAGTGAGGTAGCCGGAGCCCAATTTCCAAAAAAGGTTGTCAACGCATCTTCGGGTGTAGCAGATGTCTATGGGCGGCGGTATTCACTTAACATCAGGTGAACCGTCTGCTCGTTTAGCAAATTTTCACATAAAAAAAAATCCTTTAATGTTTAAGTTGTGTATATGGCGGGACACGCAGCAGTCTTCGCTGTTGCACGGATGGATAGGTCCGTCCGGGTAAATACCACGATCTACTCCGGATAAATACTACTACATACTTCTGCGTTTCGTCTGGTGAGTAACTGGGAGCCACTTTATGCAAATGTAGCAAACCGTTTGCAACCTTTGAACATAAGGAGAACCAGCTTCCTTGCCATCGTTTTACATAAAAAAATTAAACGTTTATAATCTTTCATATAATGTGCTGGTGTATTTTTTTACAAACAAAGGAAAGTAACAGAAAGTAAAAATTCAACTTTCGTTAATTAGAATGTAAGACAGTGGCATAATATAATCTGGTTTATATTATAATGGGCATTTATTTCGAATGGAATGCTACAATAAATTATATATTTTCAACTGATCTTCCGATCGTTTAGTTCTATAATGGTAAGTTTACGTTTTAAATTAAAGCAAATTAATCAGTTCGATATAATTTGAAGATTTCAGTTAAAATTTAAATAAATTACTAATTAAACGATTGATTCATCGCAACTTACACTTTGACTATTACAGGCCGTGGTTAGTCTACGCAATTTATTACCTACTATGAAGGCTTTGAAATGACGTTTTTAAACTTACTAGTGATCGAAATGAGTTTTAACTATTTTTGTTTACACAGGACAATAACAGAAGCTAGGTAGACACTTTACAGGCAAGTATGAATTTGAGTCGATTGCCTTGTTAATGTCAAAGCCATTTAAAAAGAAATGGACCAATGAAACTAGTGGAGTCTAATTGAACGACGCGACAGTGGGACTGGGTGCGTTGGTGAGGCAAGAACGTGACGTCACGCTAGTCTGGCCTGGTATTTACGATCTAGATCGAATCTTTAGCTACTAACAAGAAACTGGTAATGTGGAAATCAACTCAATCATAAAATAATAGCCAAGGCCAAGAAAGCTAGTACGATCACTATATCGTAATAACGTGTATCGAAATAAACATGCAATAACATATGTGATGTTAAATAATAGAAAGTTTTGTTTAAAATAATTCTCTTCTGACATGTTAAATCAGAAATTAATTATCTTTAATGCCTTACAGGACATTTTTAAATACGCGAAACATTTTGTGATAATATAAAGTATTACCTTCTTGATGGCACTCCTTACGGATTGTGTTTTCGGTTTGGGCGTCGCTTTGGCAGTGTTCGGCGGACTCTTCTCGAGGAAGGGACTGTTCTCTGGAAGACCGAAATTCTTTGGCAAGTACTGTTCCAAATCTGTGCCTGGAATAGCACACAGCTTTTATAACACATAAACATACTCAAATAATGTTAATATTATTTGAAAATTTAAAACATAAGTAATTTCACGCATCGCACAGATAATGAAAAAATATGAAATTAAAAAAAAATTGAAAAGTAATAAAATCTTGTATTCATTAAGTGTCGTTCAAATAAAGAACTTTTAAACATTCCTTATTAATATTAATAAAATTAAACAAACAGTAGTACCTTCAATTCAATATCAAAATGAGGTTTCCTTCGACATTTTCGGGCATAGTGCCAGATAGTGGCCAAACGCGGTAATCCAATCAGAGACCACAAACGCGCGATATTCTCAACCGAAATGTTAAATTTTGCAATGGTTACGTGCTTGAAATGTTTGCGCAAAGAATTGGCGGTGTATTGAATGCATTTCTAATTATTGTGAATTTCGCGGTAAACGGTTAACCATTCTTTTGCCTCGACACAGATATAATATAACATGCACGGACACTCGACCGCACTAAATTAGAAACGACACACCCGACGCACTGCTCGAGACAAACCATGCGTTTAACATGATTTAATAAACATGAATCATCGTTTCAGTTCGATTATTCAATAAGCGTTTCTCAAACTTCGAAGTAGAACCAATTAAGACTTTATAACAAGAATAACAACGCGAAGAAGCACGAAAAAGTCAATAAAAAGTTAACTCAGGCTGCCTTTGTGTTAAAAATAATTTTATATACATATGTTACAATTTATAAATACAATTTTTTCAGTCACATTTCACCCATTTACATGGGCCATTTTTATAGAATATGAAATACGTATTGATGGTTGCAGGGCAGTATTAAAAACATCGATGTTACAAAAACTGTTAAAATGCCAGCTAATTTTTCGTGAAGGATGGTCTTGGCAGATGTGTTCAAAATTATAATTTGAAGTCTTTACTGGATATAAGTAACTTGATTATGGTGAAAAGCAAAGAGCCGAAAAATATAAGAAAGTAATAATCTTTATGCAAATAATTATCTTAGTTATTATATCATATAGAAAATGGAATATTAAAAAAAATATATATTAAGAAGTGTGTATTAATATTCAAAGATTGAGAAACAGTGACACTCCGAACAAAGATGGGTTATGGTAGGCGACTGTTGGCAAACAGCGTAGGAACAAACATATTATGCAAACATGGACCTAGTTCAGCTCGGGTGAGCCTTCGGTACACAAAGAATATAATTTTACATCATTCCAAGGTATATAGTATTTCTTTGCCTTATTTTCAGACATAAAATAACTTAGGGGAAAGTAAAAGATTTCTACTTTTTTGAAATAAAGATCTGTTGAACTCCTTTTCACGATAAAGCATAGAATACGTTAAGTTAAGTGAAGCACGTTCCAATGTGGCGAGAAGCTTGCAGTTATCTAAGTATTTATTCTAATGTAATTCAAACTCGACACCGATTCTCGTTATGTCGCCTATTTTGTTGGGTGTTAGTAAAATGCGCGCACACAGTACAGATTACGGTTAAGACGGAATTGCAGGCAATGATATGTAAACAGTTCACCCACTCACCGGAATTAGGACGGTCGCACGGAGTCGGCCCTTATAACCCACAAAACACGAAATTTAGAAAAAAAAATCGTATTTAAAATCGAGCAAAACCAAAAATATCAAATTTTATTTATGGATTAGTAAAGTATGCCACATTTAATAGCACTATCTAATGTACATTAAAAGACACGCAGATAATTCTTCTATTCGAACTAATTAGTCATTTCCAAAGGCTTTTAGTGAAACCAGATCCAGAACAAAACTAGTAACACAAGCGAGTTGAAACAAAATTTACCTTCGCGCCGTTGCCTCGATGAATCGAAGGTTTTCCTCTTCTTGGCCATCATTTTCTCGCAGATCTTAACGTGCTTCGCAAGGGACTGTGGGACAAAGGTGCGCCCGCAAACGGGGCACGGCATAAGCGGCAAGGGCCCCGAAGGCTGGGGGGCCACTGGTGCCACGGGGTTGGTAGGTACTGGCGGAGACGGCGGTGGCCCGACATGGCTTGGAGGTGGTGTCCTCAGCAGAGGCCTGTACGACTCGCAGGGAGAGTCATCCGCCGGCTCTGGGGAGGGCGATCGTGAGGTCTTTGTTGATTGATCTTGCTGTTGATGCCGTTTACCTGAAACGACAGTTTTTTTTTATTTATTAAAAAAAAGTGAAGTAACAAACAGCCTATAAATGTCAAACTGATGGGAAAAAGCCTCCTCTGTAAAGAGGGTGTATCAGGGGATAGTCGCACCACGCGACCCCGACCATCACACTGCGAATTGGCGAAATTCACATATTTTTAATATAATAATTATCGGCATACTAAACAGTACAATGAAGACATTTATGGACGGAAGCGGGCATAAAAAATGTAGACAATGTAGTTAAGATGATTGCTAGTTTACAAAACCTTTCTGCCCATTGCACGTGTACTATCGCTCAATAACAATCGCTGTTGGTGGATGAATGTCGATGCATTTCGATGGAGTCGATACAACGGTAAAAAAACGGCGTAAAGGTACTTGGATTTGAAAAGTTAATCGTTTAAAAAGTCACATTTTACAGCAAAAATATAACGAACTTAACAATTATGTATGCATGATTAGTACCTTAACCCCTAGAGGAGTGTATGTTGTATTATCATTTCTCCTTTTGTCAGAGCATAAACAACTTACTACGACTTGTTTGCCCTTAATATGAGTCAAGGCCAAAACCCCCCCAGAGTCAAGGTTGCGCAAATTGGCGCGGTCTCGATTATTCCATGCGGACCCGAGTAAAGAGCTTTAGTGTTTTATAGCGTCATCGCGCAAAAATACGATAGTCGCAGATGGAAGATTTGAAAATAAAATTAGCTGCCTGAGATTGTCGGGTTGCTGGTACGGGGCGTATAGCTGCTATTTTATTCACTCGTTGTTCGCAACGTCAGTAACCGTATGATTCCCTATATACCAAGACCGTCATGACAAGCAGAACGAATGGAAAAGGGCTAGCGATTTGACTTGGAGTGTCTAATAAGGGCAGGCTTAAGTTCGCAATGGACTCCTTCGATCATACCGTTAGCTGTCGTGATAACTGATGGAAGCAAAGGTTTTAAATAAAAAATCTACAACTTTAGATTCAAAAGAGGAAAAAAATTGGCATCCGTCGATTCGATCCCGAGATTCTAAAAATTTGAAAATATATTTGGGAATACAGTTTCAGTAATAAATCTGATAAAAACTTTATAACCAGAAACAAGTAAAACCACATTAATGTCTTCCCACACACGACTCGGTAATGTCTGCACAACAGGAAATAAATAATGGACACGGCAAAATTAATCTTTATAACATAATTACAATTTGCTCTGAGGTTAATCAAGCGAACTATTACAAATAAATAGAAAGGTTGGCTGGCATTCTCACGACTTACGACATGGGACATAAAGAGCGGTGTCGCTTTTACTTGTCATCTCGAATTACCCATCTCTTTCACTTTCGGATGATATGAAATTACACAGAAGAAACGTATTCAGCCCGGAGTTACTGTTACAAAATTGTAACCGAATATAACATCAGTATTATGGATGTGTAGAATTACTTTATGGATGTCACAAGATTGACATTGTAGTCTACTCTCGGTTTACAATTGAAATGGTTTTGATATTAATAGCTTAAGGAGATGTTAAACATTTACTACTTTAAAATTTTTAAAGTATTCTAATTAAGGACCATACATTAATCGATTTTATCCCGTTTAGCCAATTATACGATTTGAATTTGTTACGAGTATGTACTGAACATTGAATTTCCTTAAACATATTTTTATTTTCTTCGATTCTGTCGTTTTGATTGTTTATGTTTTACATTTAGAAGCAAAAAAATAATGTAATTATGAAAAAAAATCAAATTTCTGATACTGATTGATGGTTTAGAATGGGTAAACCCTCTATTCGTTATCTTTGCAACCTTCATTGTGAATGACTTGATTTTTTTTTTAGAAGGCCTGTACATATGAAAAAGCAACGACTTGAAATTACACACGCGATTCTAAGCGCAGCGACACCGCTCACAAGGGCGTGTTGTAGGAAAATATGACGCAAACTGGCCGCAAACATCGATTAGGCAAATTACTGTTGGGTAGTCACGCGACAAGTTTCAATACAAAATTTAATATTTTTCTAATAGTTTTCTTTTTGAATAAGATGTAAATATTCTGAGTACACGTAAATACTTCAACTGGTAAACATTTAAACCTACGAAACTATTAATTATACCTTTGTAAATTGTAGTCAAGTATATAATAAATCCATTACGTGGTGGATTCGTACATTTTTTTATATCATCATTAATTACAATAACCGGTAACAAGAGAGGAAATATGTCGTCTGGTAGTTCTGCCATTATACTTACTATACCAACAAAACAAATGTGAAACGGAGGCCATCATTGCATTGTCTTTGGCGAGCTCAAATTGTTCCGAAATTTTCCTCCGACAGAATTGGTGTTCCGGTTGATTTTAACAACACACAAATTGGCCGCTTCCTCGCCTCTATGGTGCTCGTGAATGACACCGTACCGGTTTTCATTCACCACACTAGATTGTTTTAATGTAAGCGAGTAATTATGCAAGCATTGCACAAGTCGCGTAACGAGCCGAAACCAGTAATGCGACATTGGCGGAGATCTCGATAAATGGGTGTGTTGTAATCAATAATCATTTGTTTCAACGAAACGGTGATTAAAAATCGCTTATACGGTCGATGAATGACCGTCAAAATTATATTAGTTAATTATAGTCACCAACGTTATAAAGTCCAAGAATTCAGTTAAAGGTCTTCAACCGACTTCAAAAAGGGAGGAGATTCTGAATTCGGTTAAAGTTTTTTTACGTTTGTTACTTCATAACTCCGTCATTTATGAAACAATTTTAATAATTCTTTTTGCTTTAGGCTCGGTGTAGCTGACATCTTAATTTTATTAGTATTAGCTTCCTTGGACTACATACATCAGGGAATTCCTCAAACTTAAATTGAAAATGTATGATGTGAGATATTAGACGGTGGTTTCGTTTTTATTTAATAAATAAGTTTTACTTGTCATGTTTTGGTTATTATGTTGGATTCGATAATCATGATTGTGTGCATGGTTAGGTGAGATTTAGGCCTGTACTGTAATCGATGTGTATAATGCATCCGACCACAGTACAAAAATATCTAAACGACGTATTTTCAGAAAACACTCGGTGAACACTCCGTATCCCGGAAGCGTGTAAAGTAAACTGTAAAATGCCTATCTAAACATCAAGGAGTGGCAGCACAAACAAGATAAACAGCGAAAGCTCCGCGCGAATTGTGTGCCACCTGAGCTGAGGTACCTTATACATTATACGGTATTAAGCCGAGGCACGTTCACGTTCGAGTCTAAATTCCCTGTCAGCGGGCCATCATCGGCGATTTTAGCCTTTCTTGGAACATATTGGCCGTGCCAGACCGAAAGGATTGTTTCGATACGCAGCACGCGGTAATACACGTGCCGCGAACGTTAATCGCTACAAGTTTCATTTAACGCCGGCTAACAAGCGGACCGCTGTCCGTCGGCCGACAACATCAAAGAGCCCGGTGTAAGTAACAAGCGGCGAGAGAAAGGATGCGGTGTTATTGATGACGTTAACGACGTGTCTACAGCCGACGCCGCCGGTGATTCTTTGCCCAAATTACAACGATTTTACATTGAGTTTTATATTTTAACTCCGATTACACGACTCAATCAAATACAGTTTTAAAATAGGGCTCCGTCCACAAACTTTAGAATAGTCATATTGACTTCAGTGGCGATATAATTATAGCCTAATATTAAAGTTTAGGTAAAAAAAAGCATATTAATAATTATTTTTATGTCCAAGCATGTTTTCTATCTATCTTACAAGTGTAAGTTAAAGGAGTCGTCTTCATACTAGGCAAAATTCAATCGTAATTATGCAATTATTATATCGTCATGTAAAGAAATATCTTCATATGTGTGAAAAATTTGTGAAAATGGATATTCAAAATTATATTTGTATGTAATGTGTTACATCGTTAAATATACACGGTTCAGCTAATAAAAGAAAACCTATTTTATGCCAGTATTACTGTAACGTTTATTTCTTCGTATTACAATATAAAAATTAAAAAGCATACATAAAATTAAGAAAAACCTCAACCCACCAAATTCATGTGCGGGCTGTGGTCAAAAAGCAATTCGAACCGAACATGATAAATCGCTTAATATCATCGAACAGTAGTAGCGTAATAAATAAGTCGTTTACGGCGCGTTTATGACTTGTTCTGTACCAAAGTTATTTTTTAATTGCAGCCGCGAGCCAGACGCGTCCTAAATATCTTCCGCTGCGATCGTATCACAGCCGATTGACTCTTGGTATTTTTTCGCGATTCGTTCGAACGTTTTCTCCACTCCGTATCGATCTGGTGGATCAGCCAAAAGTGATTTCGGTCTGTAAATGTACAGATTGCCAATTGCGATAATTTAACAGACCTCATTGTCACTGATGATCGTTTGAAACGGAGGAACTTAAAAATTACTACTAAATTCCGTAAGCCACGCTTGGAAACCGATATTCATAAGATTTCTTTTGCTTTAGTTTTTGCTGTTTAAAATGGAGTTTAATTAAAACGAAACAGATATTTTTATTCATCTATCTCTCATCTTATATATGAAATATTCGATGTAATCGTTTCTAATAACAGTTCAATAAACTAAAAACGGGGCGTAAGTTATAGATAGTACTTCGAGTACAACGAATGAAGGACAACGAATACTAAAGAATTCATAGGGCATTCTTCAATTTCAACTTCTAAGTGATGTTAAGAATGCTGTAAACAAAGTAGACGTCGGCAAACAAATGCAGTGGCCACATATCCAACCGCAATGTTGACTATCAACATTGATTTAAACGTATATACGAAAAGAAAACTATAGGAACTAAAATGTTTAGTTTGGCTGGTAAGAAACTTACATTTAATAACGAAGACTTCATCAAAGGGTAACCTTTCATCGGAAGTGCTTCGTCACGATTAAGTTCTAAATGCTCCAAAGGTTACTCGAGGGGACGCTGACGTAGTGTGGATAAAATACAGAGGGTGATATTGTG